CAAAAGAATACTCGCCAACAATGGCCACATCAGGACCGACGAGCTCTCCGGAGGGCCACCCAGCCTCGCTGGCACCCAACAACATCACTTCCGCACGAACATCATCCGACGACTCTCGCGACCCGAAGTACCAAGCAGGACTGATGCCGGCCGAGTACGCGGGCCTGGAGGTGGCCAACAACGGCGACGGGCATTACCAGACTGCGGCGCCTGGCGGACCAGGATACTACGTGCCGTACCAAGACAACGTCAAACCCCCATCGGGATACGACCAACAACCGTACCAACAACAACAGCCGTACCCACAATCGGCACCGACACCATCGGCATATGGCGGTGACTATGCGGCAGCTCCGCCTCCGGGGAAGGGAGAGAAGAGGGTATGCGGCATCCGGGCGGCGACATTTTGGATGGGGTTGTTGGCGTTGATATTCCTTCTCGGCACGATTGGCGCGTCGGCGGCTGCTGGTACGATTGCTCAGCAGTATGCGGGATACATCCAAACATGCGACGCGTAAGTTATCACCGACACTTTCACTCATTTTGGTGAATGCTGTTACTAACCCGCTTTACAGCAAGCTGGAACAATCAGCAACACAAGCCTCAGCCTCAGCAGCAGCGTCAAACTCTGCGGCAACAGCCTCGGCATCTGCATCAAACACTGCCTCTGGAACCGCCTCAGCAACAGCAGCAGCAGCATCCGCTACATCAACTGGCTTCACGTCGATTCCACTGCCCCAACAAGCCTCCTCGATCTTCGGTGAGGCTACTTCAAACTGCCCGAACCTGTCTGCCGAGAACAAGACGTACTCTGTCCCCGGGAGCAACCTGAAGTTCGTCCGCGAATGCGGCAAGAACTACCCCTTCAACGACCTGGGATACATCCCATTGACCAGGATGGAGGACTGCATGAACCTGTGTGCTGCGTTGAGCGTCACGACGCAGAGTGCCGACGGGCCGTGCATCGGCGTCGCCTGGGTCACTGCCGGAAAGCAGGGTACGGACCAGAACTACTGCTGGCTGAAGGGTGCGAAGGGATCACCGGATCCTAAGGCCAATGTTGAGGCGGCGTGGTTGTCTTTGTCATGATGTGTTAATAAGAGTTGAGGGGGTTGGTGTACCTGCGATGAAGAAGATGAGACGAAATGAGATCGGGCTGAGGATAAAAGGCTCTGGACGACGTTAATTGTTTATTATACCATTGAAGCATGTTTCATAGCCAGGCATCTATGTTTTATGTCACATTCACCTTAATGCCAACTACATTATTCCAGCATTCCATCTTCAGTTCTAGTCACCTGCTCAACAGTAGTAGTACGACACGTACTATGCCGACTACAACAAAGTTTATCATTACCTATCTCTGGCTGACTCTACAGTGATTTCGGTATTGAGACATGGGCTAGGTATACCAGTCTTTGACTGGCCTCCACTACTTACTTGCGATACCACATCCTAGTCACCTTTGTCTTCTGGATCTTCCTCTGCAGTCGAAAGATACCATACAGCAATGCCTCCGCCGTGGGCGGGCACCCAGGGACGTATATATCAACGGGCAAAATCCTGTCCACACCCCTAACTACGCTGTAGCTGTAGTAATAGTATCCGCCGCCATTCGCACAGCTACCCATACTAATCACCCACTTTGGATCCGGCATCTGATCGTAGCACTGTCGCACAGCCGAAGCCATCTTGTTCGTAACGGTGCCAGCAACGATCATGACGTCTGACTGACGCGGTGAGGCGCGGAAGATGATTCCCAGTCGGTCCATATCGTAGCGAGGCATGGATGAGTGCATCATCTCGATGCCACAGCAAGCGAGGGCGAATGTCAGGGGCCACATGGAACCATTGCGTGCCCAGGCGACGAGCTGATCAAATGTGGTACTATGTCACGTCTATGTCAGCAAGCGGAATTGGCAAGGGAATTGGACGAGGTCCTACAGGACATGTTCAACTACGCTTGTTGGTCGCTGTTCGGCGGAAAGGCCGAGGGGAGAAGAACGTGGCGTGCGAATAGTGGCATTATTGGATTGAAAGCGAGGACTTCTATGTTCCGGATTGCGGTTTGCGTAGTACATGATAGGTCGATGTCGTGCGAAGGTATTGAGGCAGTTGCGTACGCCTGTGAGACGGACTGTTGGATTTAGTATGTGTAAGTGGGCTGTGATGTCTAGATATGCTTACCTTTTGACGGCAACATTGTAGCCATCTCTGGGAAAGAAATCAGAGAGATATTGTGACTAGATAAAAACTGCGAGGGAACAAAAAAGAAGAAGAAGAGGTTTTGAGCAATGTTGCCCGAGAACGCTCACTTCTGACGTCGTGCCGGGAAATCCACACATTGAGGGACGCAGACGAGGAGGACGCCGGAGTCCACCTAAGTGGCGCATATCCTAGGGTCCATCATCTGGCCTTTCAACATCACTGCCGATTCCGCATCAAATATTTCTCTCGAAATTTTCTTAAGTATTAGACATTCCTTCAAATTAGTTTCTATTGTCTTTTTGGTATGTTCTGAACTCAGAGCAGGGCATATCATTCAACAGCTTGGATTGGGACTTTACCGGAATAGGAAGTGGGGTCAGTGGCTGCAGCCACGGGAAAAACACTCATTGTCTTTCGTCCTCCAACGTTCCCTCGTCACATCTGTCATCACACCACTGCTAGCAGAACAGCAACCCGGCACTCTTTGAAATCCACGGTGAAGGCTAAATTTTTACTTGAGTTACAGAGTCATGACGAACGCTGGTCCAATCACCGAGACCGCTGAGTTCATGTCTCCAAGCCCCGCAGACTGTCCGGTCTGCCACCTCCCCATCGGAACACCAGCAAAGCTCTCCGGGCTACACGCCTGTCCTTTCTGCAGGAAAACCTTCAGACGAGTGGATGGTGCTCGAAGACACGCCAAGTCTTGTCATAAGCGAGGAGATCAGCCATTACCCGTGGAAGCCAAACGAGGCCGGAAGCTTCGGGCTTGCGATCGGTGCTCGCGCATCAAATCCCAATGTGATGGGAAACTCCCTTGCGGTCATTGCAACGCGAGGAACCTTGATTGCACTTTCCAACGCTTCTGTAGCGATGAATCTCACAGAAAAAAGGTCTCCGGTGCAGAAGGTGCTAAGACGCAACATCCCCAGCTGTCGTTCTTCCTCAACTTCACGGGTCCACGAGGGGGCCAGGCAATTGAGCAGGAGATGGCCGCCGTGCCAGAAGTCGACATCCAAGGTCCTTTCACGAACAAAGCTCCTGACTCAAACGTTATACCGGACTTTGGTGACTGCATCGATCCGTCACTTCTTTTCACGACCCTTTTGGACCCGTCTTTCGACATGGACCCGGCGGAGGCAGGACCTGCGGACGTGTTTGGGTACTCCGAGTACAACGCCTCTGGCGGCCTAACCATGACATCGCCTACCGACGCACTCGCTGTACGAATCGCTCAACTTTCTGAAGACCTATCGCAAGTTGCTTCATTGAATTCGGAGCTTAGTTGCTTTGACCCTACATCATTCAACGAGGTCTTCTCCAGTGATCAGGTTCATGCGTTCTGCGAAGCGTTCTCTCGGAAGCGGCACTATCAATACCCAGCCGTACATTGGCCAACTTTCAACCTCGAAACAACCTGTTTGCCTTTACTGTTGGCGATCTCTCTCAACGGTGCGGCCTACTCCAAATCTTCTCCTGATGCCGCGGGAAGCAGAGCGAGGGCTCGAGACTTCTACATCATTGCAGACGCATACATCTTCCAACAATTAGAACGCTGCATCAACAGCAGTCACCAAGAATCTGAATCTGAGACAACTGTCGAGATACTTCAAGCTGCGTTGCTGATGGTGGTCTTGCAGATATGTTTCGATGACAGCCGAAAAGGGGTAATAATTTTCAGGCGTCTCCCGCTACTGGTATTTTCCCTCCGGCATTTCGGTTTCACTAGGATGAAACATGATGAGGCAGAAGACTGGCGAACTTTCACAAAACAAGAGACGCGGATTCGTCTTTCGACATGGACGTTCTTCATGGATAGTCTCTTGACATTATTCTGCAACAACCCACCGTCAATGTCCCATGCTGAGACTCTCGGGCATCTTCCATGTAATCAGGCTCTGTGGGACGCAGGGTCCGAAGAAGCCTTCATCCAGCTAAGGCTTGAGGCTGGATGCGAATTCGTCTGCTTAGGAGATTTGACCGTTGGGCTGATGCAAAATGAGTGGCCGATTGAGCCAATGGCCCCGTTTGATCGACTCACCCTCCATCACCTGAATGCGGCCATTGTTGGTGAGTTTGCAAGAGACTCTGGTGTATATCTAGGCTGACCTGATGAATCCCTAGCCTTGCAACCGATTATCTTCAATTTGCATACATTTTCGCTGCATGATACAGGACGGATCAATTTGCTTCGGGCCCTCGATCGGTGGACGACGCTCTGGAACGCTGCAACCCATCCTAAACAGCCTGGATCTCTAGGTGTTGAACGTAACAGCCCCGGTCTAGCACTGTTATCAAGAAAAATCATTGAAGTCACGGGCGCCGATCCGGCAGGGCAATGCGAGTATCTGCAACGCGTCCCGAAGCACGACTTCTCAGATCTTCACCGCTTTATCGGAGAATACTGCTAGTGTGAATGGCTCTACGGTATGCGTGGCTTCCTGTATCGCCCTGAGAGCTTCCATAACCGTCACAAATCCTTTAAATTCACAAGATACTCACTTTAATGCCAGTCAGATAATTCCGACCACTCGTATTCGGTTCCGGACTGTTAATGGCGGACCTTCGCGGCCCCCGTTGTAGATTCGACCGATTTTCGGCCGAAGTTAACAACCGCGAGACTCGCGACGATCCACGACTCTAAGCTTCGGCCGAAATACCGTGATGTACTAATTTCATCAAGTGCCCCAAAAAGTCTCGATGAAACTGTGTGCATCTATTTAACCAGTCTTGCCGACTGGACATTGTATCTGCAGAAATCATCACGCATCCCCAGGGAACAAAACGAAGCCATGGCCAACAAGATCAGGGTCGCCATAGCCGGCGCAACTGGGAACACGGGTTCCTCAATCGTGAATGCGCTGTTGAAGTCACCAGAGCTATTCGTAAGTTACCTCCCCTAGAACTTCCCAACTGGGGCTTGGCCGACCTTCGACTTACTCCGCGGCAGGATATCACTGCTCTAGCGAGACCCGCCTCAGTTGGAAAACCGGAACTCGTTGAATTCGCAAAACAAGGCGTCGCTGTGAAGTCAGTTGAGCTGGATGGGTCAATTGACGCAATTTCTGGCACTCTCGCAAACATGGACGTGGTCATCTCGTGCTTGACCTTGCTCCAGTTCAACGAGGAGATGAATCTCATTGAAGCGTCGAGCAAGGCCAACGTCGCTCGGTACATACCAAGCTTCTGGGGCCCAGCCTGCGAGCCACGAGGCGTCATGAGTATTAGGGAAATGGTTAGTTCGGGTCGTCGCAAAATTTCCTCTACTTGAGTGGGAACAAGGGAACCCGAGCCTTTTGCTAATCAATGCATTATCACCACAGAAAGAGGACTTCTTAGACCGTATCAAAAGCCTCAGTCTCCCCTACACCATCATTGACGTTGGCTGGTGGTATCAGCTGACCTTGCCTGCTCTGCCTTCAGGGAGATTCCGGCCAGCTGCGGAAGAGTACTCTACCACCCGCATTATTGGAGACGGCAATGTTCCTTGGGCCCTCACCGACAACCGCGATATTGGGAAGTTTGTCTCTAGAATCATCGCCGACCGGAGCACTTTGAACAAGATGGTCTTCGCCTACGGAGAGGTTATGACACAGAACGATGCCTTTGAGCTCCTTGAGAGGGTATCTGGAGAGACTGTCCGCCGACAGTTTGTCAGTCTATCAAGTTTTCATCCGGCTTGAAGACTACGGACTAACCAGACAATTTAGATAACCAAGGAAGAGTTGCAAGATGTCATCACCCAAGGCCGTGCAAAGTCTGGCAAGGAGAACATCAAGGATGTGACGATTTTGCTCAACATCGCCATGGCAGAGTATCGGAATGTTCTCGGCATCCGAGGAGACAATACTCCCGAAAAGGCACGAAGCCTTGGATATCTTGATGCACGAGATTTGTATCCCGATGTGGAGGTCACTACCCTTGAAAACTATATCAGAGGTCTTGTACGCTGAGGGGCATGCTACATAGGTAGATTGAAAAGAAGATCGACTGGCGACCCAACCCTTTTGGTACTTACTGATTCAAAATTCCACCTTGTGGAAGCTCAAAAGAAGCTGAGGCGGCTGGATCAACCGTTGTGTGCCAGCTTCCTTAGACATGCGAGACGAAAGTCGGCCGGGCCCGGATACCCGGGCCTCCGGTCCGAACCCCGTCTTTACATAGGAGGGATCGTCCACACCACTTTGTAGCCAGCTGCGCCCGACTGTTGAAGCCCAGATTAATCCAGGCCTTCAAACAAGATTCAAGCTGCCATGGGCACGTGACGCCACACGCCACTTCATGTACCTTCTGCAGGCAGCAGCCAGTTGCCAATCCAAGCATCCTACATCCCACACTTGTTGCAAAAGCCCTTACCTGATCCCCCCCCGAAGACCTCTATCAGTTTGCCTTGAACAGAACTATATTTTTGTGCAGTTCTTTTATTTCAATTTCCACCCAGTCTGCGTTCCCGGTTCACCTGATAATGCGACAAACGTCGGCCAATATTGCTTTCTAACTAATCGCACCTACGCTTGCCTTTTCCGCCATGGACACATGCTCGGTAACTAAGTCTTCCGCTTTGGCGCGTTCAGACGATCATAAGCGGAGGAGGCCCTCAAAGTCGGACATCGGTTTCGCCAAAGTAAGTGTCCAGTTTGCGTTTAATGTTGGCCTTGTTAGTACCTCAACAACTCACATCGCGACAATACTGACAACACGCCTAGAGACCTAGGCTGGAGGAATGTGTTCCGCAACTCTCATTCCTGTAAGTTAGCCAAGACATCTCCATACCACACATAGCTGACCTTCTGTAGGTCACTACCGCCCGAGATCAGGAATACGATTTATCGTCATCTCGGGCTTTTCAAAATTCACAATATCAGAATCGTGGGGAGAGGCATCAACGTTCATTATGAGCCCACTTTCAACTTCCAACTGCAGAGACATAGGTTTCGGGGGGCTCTACATCCGCGGTGTACCACCAAGTTCGATACGGCAATCGCATCAACGTGTATACTGATACATCAAGAAACCAGAGCCTTACTATACGGGAGATTATTCTTCCTCCCCAGAATGGAAGATGCCGCTTCGTGGCTGCTGAATATTGGCCCACAAAACAGAGCCTTGTTACGAGGCATACGCCTGACGACCCGCGTCAAAGACACCCACCCAGCGTGCTCCTACGACTACGTTGCTACGGATCGTGATCGATACAGACAGGTATCAAAGCTCGTATCCGGTCTAATGGCCAATTCATCAGAGCTCGAATGCCTGGGCTTCCAATATCTATTCAATCCTAGCAACCCACCCATTCTTTCCCACGCGCGCGAGGAGTGGATCAATAAGGCGTACAGAATAGCTGAAGAGCTCTACGTGGATTTCCAGTCCTTCTTTGCGGAAGCCCTTGCCCGCGGGAGGAGACCCTCACAAATGTGCGACATTGTCCACATCAACTGGGAGATCTTCCAGGACAGAGAGTGGATGTCGTTGGAAACTGAGGACAACCGCTTGGAGGATAGCCAGACCATTGATGCAATCAATGCGTTCGGAGATCACTTGAATTGGCTGCTTGAATTGCACTCCAAAGGTCTAGGTCATCCTTCTCCGAGCTCTTCTTCGCTTTCCAGCATCAAAGTTGGGATGAACATTTGCAGGTATGTTGCATTATGACTTCACCTAAGCATACGGCTAACGAAGCCTGTACAACAACAGGTATTTGGAACAGAGCACGGCTATGTCCTGCGAAGCTGGTCAGAGATCAGTCCCACATCGCAATCCCACCAGAAATCTCAGACGAAGGGGTTCGAGAAGAACTACATCAAACACACAAAGCTTGAAGGAGGGATGAGAGGCTTCAACTTCCCAGATGAGTCGCGTCACATGAACAGTGTACATGGATGTCGCAAGTTTATCCAAAGAAGGCTTAAGACTAGAATGACGCGCGAAAGCATAAACTCGAACTACTGATCAGAGCTTCGAAACCAGAAGATTTGGCGACGCTATCACTTTCCCAAGGCGCAGAAGACGATTCACAATGGCAGACGGTTGATCAATTGAGGAGTAAATGATTCGACATATTTAACAGTTGTCCGAAATGGGGCGCGAGTGGAATAAATACAAGAGAAAACGATTCGTGTCTTGAGAATGGGTACTCCGCTGCCCGATGTTGAATGAAACGCACGGAAGTCCAGCCCCGAAACACATGAGCAATATGAAAACCAACCTAGTTGGTGACGGTTTGCTTGGCCGAACCAGCACCGTTCCAAGTCTCAACAGCGATGACCTGGAAATTCAGCGTGCCAAGGTTCATGCCGTGGCTCTTCCAGGCATTGAAGTGGTTGGCAATAGAGACGGTGCCGCTGGAGAGGCCGCCGTTGCGGACCGAGATGTACTGATTGAAGGTCTGGGTGCCTTGGATAGAAGGGGCGTTGGTGCGGACGTTCTCCCAAATGGTGTATGAGCCACCGTCGCTGCTCACGGTGCCCTTCTGTGTTCCGGTCTGCGAGAAGCCGGCAGAGTCCTCAATGACGTAGTATTCGACAAGCGGGTTGGTAGTCCAGCCGTAGACGGAAAGGGTGGCAAGTCCCTTGGTGACGGCGAATGAGCCTGAGTGGGTGATGGGGGCAGTGGAACCGGGATTCCAGCCAACGCCAACAACGAAGTCGTCGGTGGTGTCAAAGTTGAGGTTGAAGCTATTGCCCGAGGGAGTAAAGTTGACGGTGCCGCCGGTCTGGTAGTTCTGAACGTAGTTGGTGCGCTCCTCCAGGGTCATGCCACGTCTCTCAAGGGATTCATTGCGGCGTGCGAGCATGAGAGGGTGGTCAGGTCCTAAGAAGAAGTCGGACGGGCCGCGGCGCTCCACATGAGGAGGCAACAGCTCAACCGGCCCGATGGCAGGGGCAGCAAGGCACGGGGCGATAGCTGAGAAGGCCAAGACGAAAGAACGAACGGAAACCATTTTGAGAATGAAGGACAGGATCAGGACTTGAATGTTGGCTGTTTTCGGACTGCCAAGAGTTCGGGATTAGACATAGGCAAACGCCGGCTCTTTATACAATTTCTTTTGGCATCTGGAGATCTCATCATCTCAATCTGCGGGTCAGAGCGATCCCGCTTCGGTAGGGGCAAACACCTCCAACGTTCGTCTTCAATCTCGACGAAACATTCTCTCTTCCGTGCTGAGTAGATTTAGGCAAAACCGGAAGAGTGCACACCTTGCACGGATGAGGAGACGCGGATAAAAACAACAATGGTGGGATTTGAGTAGCCAAATCACATCGATGAAGCAAGACCTAGACTCACGCTTTTGGAAGGCCATGCCTCTTTGAGCTGTTGGCGTTCCAGGGGTTCCCCTGTGAACAGTGAAGTCGCATTGCCCTATGGCACATTAAGGCTGCTGCACTCTGATGGGCTGTCTGAATAACGTGGAGAAATCACTCAAACGCATACCAACGGAGGCAGTTAAGTTGGGAAGGGCAGCTCGGCAGTCGATTAATTTAAGCATATGCAGGTCCGGATCGCCTGGTCCGCGGCGTCATGAGTGCGGGAGAGCTATATAATCGGCACATCAGCCGCTCAGAGTCGTATTACCGGCTGCATCGGCATTTCTCTATCTTTCTCATGCATAGATCAGCAGAGCGAACAACATATTGGATCAACCAATGAAAATCAGAAGATGCTTGTTGAAAGGCATCAGCAGGGAAACTCAGCAGCACAAGTCCACAAACACAGGTTAGGCAATCCTCAATCAAAAGGCTACACAGGCTTCACTTACAATGATCGGATGGCTAAAGGATGTCAACATAGCCCACTCAGGGGACTCAGGAAAGCGCGGCTAGGAGGCATGGTTCTAGCGTCGATCCGGGAAAGACGGCAGGGGCTCGGGTGTTGTACGAGTCCTTCGGGGAACGATTGGACAGAGCTTCTAGATAGCTCAGCAATCAATTAGAAACTGATCAGCCACAGCCCGTACTCGCTTCGTATTCGTCTAGGTATTCCCGTTGTCTCGGGTACAGTAAAATGTTGATTGATGTCTCTAGCTATTAAGAACGAAAGAAGCGCCAGTCAATATTTAAGACGTCTGAATCGCAGCGAAGAACATGTCACATTCTGTTCTACCTGGCTAGTCCAAACGCTGGACTTACTGTGCTATCTACTGTGACATCTAAGAAACCCCCAGAGACAAATATCTCAGAATATTAGAGACTTTCTAAGACTTAGGAGTCAATTACCAACCTATCTAGTTTCCCATCTTCCATCCACCCCTCGACAACCTTCTGGAAACTGAGAATACCTTCTCCCCAAGACGACTGCTTAGCAATCTGCTCTTTGATCTCTTCCGTAAGACTTTCCTGGTCCTGGATGAGGCCCTCCCCTGTCAGGTAACCCGGTGTGCAACTGGGAAATGCTGCAAACCAGCGAGCCCGCTTCGCAACTTCTGCTGACCAGTGATCCTCGGCGGCCTTCTTGACCTCGACGGTGGCCTTCTTTGCATCTTCAGCACCTTGGAAAGTCGCTTTCAATACGTGCGCAATTAAACGAGTAAGAAGGCTGTAGAAGCTGTGCGCATTCTGTGACACCGAGCCGCCACTCCCAGAGGCGAAGAAGAGGTTGGGAAACCCATTTGACATGGCACCGTAAAGGTTGCCATAGTCTGGGCCATCCCACTTGTCCTTGAAAGGTCGGCCACCTCGTCCCTCCAGCGGAGCATTCAAAGTCGACGAAGGGCAGGAGTCGACAAGCCCGACAGAGTATCCTGTGGCGAGAATGAGAACGTCAATCTCATGCTCTTGGCCGTTTGCTATCACACCGTTTGGGGTATACGCTTCAACTCCACGGCCATTGGTGTCAACAAGCGACACTCCTGGTCTGTTGAAGAGAGACAGATATGTGCCATGGAAGGTAGGTCGCTTGCAGAAACCGGGGTACCACGCTTTCAACCTCTCGGCGACTGAAGGGTCCTTCACCTCGGCGTCAACTCGGGCTCGCATCTGTTCCGTCCACGGATAGTCGAGGTTCAACATGTTCTTGACATGCTCTTCCTCTTCATCCGCAGCGATGACCTCACCTTCATGGCCCAATGCGGCTCTCATCCCAGTCACTTGGGTCCAGCCATCCTGTATCATATCCGCGTTAACTGGCTAACCTGTAAATGTCGCATCCAGGTTCGCCACACGCTCGTGTTGCCATCCAGGCTTGTACGCTACCCGGGCCCAGTCCGTAGGGGTTGTCTCTTTCTGATTTTGAGGACCAACGTAAGACGGAGTACGTTGGAAGACGTAGGTATGGCCCGCCCACTTGGCCACATGAGGTATAACTTGAACTGCAGTGGCTCCGGTGCCAATGATCCCAACCCTCTTCCCTTGACGTTTTGTCATGTTTGGCACTTCCTGGGAGCCGCCAGTCTTGGACCAATCCCAGCGTCCTGTGTGCATGACAACCTTACCGGGCGCTGAACTGAACGTATCGATGCCATTCAATTTTGGGGCATGAGGAGAGGTTTGTATTCCCCCACCAAGAACCAGGAATTGAGCACGAACAGTTAGTTGTTGTCGCCCATGGTTAGGTCCCAGATACTGATCCAGAGTCACTACCCAACGCTTTGCCTCATCGTCCCACTTTTGGTGCTTGATAGTGGTGCAGAATTGGCCTTGAATGTTCGACAGGTTGGCTATCCGTTCGAGATGCTCCCGGATTTCATGGCCGTAGGAACTAAGGCATCGCGTGTCAGCAGCGTATGGTACCACGTAGAAGTTGACTTACTTACTACCTGTGCCTTGGCACGTACCCAGTTTCCTTCAGCAATGGTACGCAGCAATAACCTTCAATATCGCACGCTACGCCTGGGTATCTGTTCCAGTACCAAGTACCACCAAAGCCGCCAGCCTTGTCGACGATGACGATGTCGCTGCTGGCAATGCCGGCTTTGTTCACCAGCTGATGAGCTGTCATCACCCCAAACATTCCTCCACCAGCAATCAGGACCTTGACCTCGGACCCATCCTTGAGCGGGACACCTCTGGAAGCTAGAGCGTCATAGTCGACATAGAGGTCTTTGTCCATGCCAGCGAGTTCTGGGTCCCGAAAATCGACGAACTGCGCAAGTTGGTCGGAGCGAAGTCGCTTTATCCGCTCCGCGGCGTACTTCTCGGTCAAGTGGTCTGGAATCTCAATTGCCATGGTATTGGGCTACTGCATCTCAAATCAGGGTGATTGAACTGGAAAGGGGTCAATGAAAAAGTAGTACAGAATGGGTTCAACTCGTTGCTGTCCTGATTCTTTACTCAACCGCAAAACCATAGAACTCGATGCGACTCTTTATAGCTGGACGAATACTTCAGCGTAGACTTTAGTCTTCTAACAGTGCCGTGATGCCGCCTGCTACATGCTGACAGGCAGTGTTATGTCCATCTCTATGTCCGCGATGCCGTGCGACATGCCCCCTTTTGCCAAGTCGACCTAGAATATGCGGACGTCAAGCGATCCACGCTTTTACTCACACGGTGCTTGTAGACAGAGTGAGCCTATGCAAAATTAATTCTCTCAGTCGGTCAGGCTCGCCATTGGCGGCACGTAGGTGTTGGTTGATCCGGCTGTTGCAATCGCTTCACTTTCTGTTCTATCTATCCTCATGTCTAATCAATGTATAATAGCCATTGTATACATGTATGACACCTAGTTAAGGCTTTTGAGTACTCAAGGCCGGGCGAACGGCTTCAATTCCATCACCGAGACCATTCCGCTTCAGATCCAACTCCATGGTTGGGCTGAACAAGGAGACGTATGACGTTTCTTCTGCTCCGGGTCATTCCGATGATTTCCCTGAGCGGACTACCTACCAGAGGCTATTTTGAATGGTCTCAGCCAAGATTCGTCTCTTTTGACATCTTCTTCAATGCGTTTGCAACAGTGCCAGAATATTACACCAACGGTGGCCAAAGGTTTCCTACGACTTATGTCTAGTCAGCGGCCAGAAGTCACACAGTAAAGCCTTAATGACGGCTCCCGCGGGTTAAGGCAACGACAGAAGCCCATACTCCGGGCTTTCGGAGCCGGTTCCCGCGGGTTCCAAGGGCCGCAGGAGCGTGGGCCAAGGGGCAGCACGGTCTTGAAGCGGACCCCGCTCCGCAAAAGGATAACGTCTTTGTATCGCCAAAGGAACTCGATGACGGGGTGATGCATTACCAATAAATGATCAAAAGTTCTATTTTGCATACGTGATTCAAAACAAAACGTCGTCTGGCATAAGTAGCTCAAAAGAATGTGCGGGTACCCAGCGCCGAGCAACTAATGACAATGTTCGAGTGACAAGGCACAAGAAAAGAATGGTTAACACCTTTCCATCTTACAAGCGGACAAAGGAAACGGGGCCAATCCCAATGCGTACATATCAAACCACGAATCCGTCAGGGTAGGTGTTTTGGCGGACACTGTACCACAGTGCAGCAATTGCCCATAGCTTCGATTAGACCGTGATGGGGCATACCAATGGATCTCGAAGGGTATGGCCAGTGAATAAGTAGCAACAGCCACGCCGGCTGTCTCTCCAGCACATAAACCTGGTTGAGGTTTACTGGAGTCCACATTATGTGCAGACCGGACGATGACACCAGAAGCAATTATTCCAGCCATGGGTTTCATTAGACTCTACCAAGTAACAAGTGTGCGTCGGCAACGACGGTGTAACGTCATCTCATACGCCAAGGGCTGTCATCGTACCGCTTTCCGGAAGTATCGACCGAGATGCCGGCGGCATGGACAAGGCAGAGAAAATATCAGTATTCGTCTCGGCCACGACAAGAAAACCAAGACATCAGACGCATTTAGGTTCATGTACGATGTGTTTTCCCTATTTGCATCAGATCAACGGACTGACATAGTCATTTCATAGGGCTCTTCCGCGTGAGATACGCAACATGATCTACGCCTTTCTCTTGACAGCACAATTACCCTTGCTGTTAATACCGCTATTCAAATCGGGTCCAAACCAACCAGTCCTCTTTCGGATGTTCTCCGATGATGACGATATATGGACATGTAGACCCGAAAGGCCTTGCATCAATATGCTACGGGTATGCAGAAGTGTCCACGCCGAAGCTTCTACGATACTCTATTACAGCAACAAATTCGTGTTTGGAGGAGCTGATGGTGTTCTGCAATGGCTACGTACTCTGCGTAAAACATCCCGTCGCAGCTTGAGATCCATGGAGGTCTGGAACTATTATTTCATACATAGCAATCAGAGAAATAGGTCCTGGTTGAGGAAGAAGATGAAGAAGCTAGCCCCTAGGGCTAAAGTTGTCATCAGCTTGAGCCGCCTTGACTTATGGAGCGTTTACTAGGGAGCAATGTTCCGCAGACCCGGTCCAGCTATCAGAAACTTTGATGAAGGGTGCAGGTGTTTGTTTGGTGTGTTGCAACCGAAGCGCCCATTCGCCCTTTTGTACCACGCCACGCCTGAGTTTGTCATTGTAAAGTCTTTTTCTCATTACAATACTTCAATCTTGAAGTTGTTGAGAGAGCCACAGCCTAAGTTACTCTCAGAAAGAACTTCTACTATTGTTTGTATGGATCTCAAAAGCCCAAGCCGTCCAACGGGCTGTACATTATGTTTGATCGCGAAATTATACTTCCGTTGCGAGCTGTATCTGTTACGCTACGCCCCTGATTGTAGCCATCTACTTAGCTACTTACAAAGATCTTCACAGACCGTGAAACCTACCCATATATCTCTTCTTACAGATCACAGCAGACTTGATACATGACCTCTCACATATTCGGATTACTCCGGTTGAGCAAGAAGCCGTTTTGTTGGAAGTCAGCCTCCATGCTCGCCTGAAGTTCAGCTATGAGATCTTGACTCAGAAGGCTTCTCCAGGTAAACACTATGTCGCCTCGCGACGTAGGCCGGCCAATTCCCCGGGAAGCATAACTCGTGAACGATAGCTCTAATGCTTCTAGCTTGTCTTGTTGCCAAATAGCCAGTCCTAATTTACGGTACGGCCAAAATGGAACTCCGCGGATGGGTGAATACGGATGCTTCAATAGTTTGACAATGTAGATCATCCAACACGGTGGCTGGTCTTTGGAAAGTACCTCTCGTGGCCATCTGGGATCCACCACTCCCGGATAGGCCGGTTCCTGCCACCTCCGTGAGGACGCGTAAGTTTGGGAAGGTGCCGGGAGGCTTCGGGATCTTTGCGAGAGAATCGAGCCGCCTTGGATATGATCGACGAAGTCTACGACGGTGAGAAACTCCTCTTTTTGCCAGGTCCAGCCTGCAAAGAGAACATCAGGAGATAACCCTTCGTGGCTGTTCTTTAAAGCCCAGTCCAGACGGTCTGCCGAGGTTGCAAGCTTCAGGTCGAGGAGCAGCTGCAGTCTCCAGAATCCGCGCATGACGCGCTGCTCCTCCATCCAGCAAGGTGGGCTGAGGGGCTGTGGAGTGTACGGCCGCCCTTGAGGGTTCTCGCGCCATGCTTTGTCGCGGGCGCCCCAAGCGAAAGGCCCGTTCTCAAGGTGGCATGGAGTGACGGAGGCCCATTGACTTCGATAATATTCGAGACAAGCCCAGGTCAAGCAGCAGATACGTCGCGCGGTCAAGAGAACACCGCGGATGAGGTGGGGAGGTTGACCACGGAGCAAGTGCGCGAGGCTCGGGGCAGCTGAGATGAGAGACGGATCTCGGTCTTTATGGCATTGGGTGTATTTCTCGACAAAGTCTCGGACCGACGGTGCTGGCGGATATTCAAGGGACGCAGTGCGGATCAGGCTGACGAGGCTAACCAACGTGATTACTTCGGGTGCCATCGACTCGCCAAGAACATGGTCAAGAGCTTTTGGCCCTGCCTCTGCGGACCCAAAGACGCGAGAAGCAGCCGGGCTAGCCACGACCAGATGGTACAGCGATCGAAGATCAGTGATAGAGAACGGGATTTGTTCGAGGATCTCGACAGGAAGACCTTCCATATTAGGATTTGAATGAGGTGGCATTCTGAGGAACAATTGCTTAAACTGCAAAATTTGTGGTTGTAGAAGCCTGACATGTAGTCTGGAGGCACGGATTGTTGGTTTAAATATGTGTGCTTCCAACAAGGATCACAAGGGTCAGCCGGTTGAACCAACAGCAAACACGCAGTCTTGGCGCCCAGGATCAGCCGCATCCAATCCGTGGGAATCACTAGTTATCACCTGCAGTGAAGGAACGCCTGAGTCACTTCGGCGAAGCTCCGGGGCACACTCTGGTGACCCAGTGACAAACATTCACGATCCTGGCATTGGGTGCCCCACAACAGCCTGCGTTCATCGTGAGTTCTCTCACACGATTCCATTCAAAACCTAAACAAGGCGATGTAGGCGACACAAATGCAAGATATTTCATGAAATCACACTTGATCCACATTTTGTCCTTGCTGAAACTTTCATCCCCAGACTTTATGTTATTTTGAATGTCTAGCTTGCTGTAGTATTTGATGTTTTAGGCGCCGCTCTAGCTTTCAAAGGGCATGCTGAGTTGAGCCTGAGTTAGGATGCGAGCCCCGGCAGTGTTTACATATACCAAAAACCAACCCCTAAACATGCTAGCTTACGTGGAATACCATGCAAAAAGCAAAACGATGAATGCGACCATGGTACCGAAGATACCGCAGGACATAAACCTCTTGATCCCCACTGCGTAACCTCCAGTAAGCTCGGCATAATTCTGTACACCTTCGAAAGTACTGTCATTCTGAGGAATGTAGCGCACCCACCCTCTTCTTCCGGTTCGCATATTTAAACCATATCGAGAATTTCGTCGAGCTGTAATTGCACAGAGTACAGAAAGATTCCCGCAGGTGTCCCAAACAACAAACCTCAAAGGCAAGCCTTTGTAAACTGGCGCCAGCTTGGCCACAAAAGTGATATTTGGAGGCAGATTTCCAGGGAAGCCCCAATGTCGAAGCCAAACCTGAATTGGAACCTGAGGTCTTGGGCCAGATATTAGTTCCCACATGATGTAGGACCAGGCGCCAGGAAAGTAGCTGTGGTGTTGACGTGCATAGAAAAGGCAAGTTTCCTTCACCTCATATCCCGCCAGATCGACGTCTGAAAAGGGGCACAAGGTATTTAAAGAAGAATTTAACGGTGTGGGGACATCCAGGCCATTCTCTAGGAAGAGCTTGAGCACTTCGAGATGCCTTGGTTTGCCGGCATGAAAACGACTCCATATTCCCAGATTGAAAGGGCCTTTCCGATGGCTTGTCGACTCCGAATGGCCCCTGATAAGGGCTTGAAAAGGGGTTAAGTAGAACCCATTCTGCGTTCTATTGAGATCAATGTCCTTCAGGAGTAGAAGAGCACGACAGATGTCAACTTGTCCGAAGAAAGCAGCCGACGCCAAAGCGCTTCCTACCCCTACGTCAACACTCAGGTTTGGATCTGCTCCGGCATCGAGAAGAACGTTAAATGACTTCGTAAGGCCTTTCGCAGCAGCAATTGTAAGCGGGGTTGGGAGAGGTGACCCGGAGAGTATCTGACTGGGGTTGGCGCCAGCCCGGATGAGCACTGAAGAACTATCATCGCGACCCTTGACGCTCAGCAATCCCATGGATAGAAGACTAGTCCTTCCATCATTTGCGTTGATATCCATGCCATACATGATGAGTTGCGTGATGATTTCGCCGCCCCAGGTGGACTCTGCCGCACCGACGACTGCATCGCGGTCTGTTCTGCGAGTCAAATCGATCCTGGCGCCAAGTCTCAACAGAAGACGAACTGTCTGGATGTGGCCCATTTGGACCGCGCGAGTCAGTGCAGACATTTGATTCCATTCGAATCGCTTGTGGATGTCTTGAGCGCCAATTCTTCTTCGCATATTACTGTTGGATAGATTGATTTTCTCGTTTCCGGCTGCAAGAAAAAGAACGTAATCGGGGTTGGACACAGCCGGTCCCTTGTCTAGTACAAGCCGAAAGAATTCCTCACTCAAGTTCAGAGCGGCAAATTCGACTGTATCTCCGCACTTGGTCGGGAGGTTAATCTTGGCTCCTTTGCTGAGTAACTCGCATACAACGCCGAACTTATCCAAATCACCGCGTTCCTTGCGTTGAGCTGATGCCAATGCGGCTTTGAGGGGCGTATTGATCCTGAGCCTAGCACGATCACATCCAGACTTGAGCGTATAGTTATCCCGGAACATAGACGCATACGACCTCCCAGGATCAGGATCAATCCCATTCACATCTTCGCCAGCCTCTATGAGTGCTTTGAAGGCAGCCATGGAATTGACTTCAATTGCGACCATCAAAGGCAGAGGACAGCCGGTGTTGATGCCCGAACTCTTTCGAATCAGAAATCTCCAGATTGGTTCATGGCCATGCTCAATGGCCAGCGGGAGAGGAGACGGAACTCCGGTGTCAACCTTGTCAAGACCTTCAACTGCAAGCTCCCACCAATCTTCCAGCAGATTGTATAGGCCGAAGATGGCAGCTATTTCCAAAGGCGATGACTTTTGATCGAACCGGACCCAATCGAACGAAGACATCTTGTCCGATCCACGGACCATGTACATATCCCGCCAAGCCACGAATGTGGTGCTACCAGTAAACATTGATCCTAAGAATTCTTTCAGCTCATTCTCAAGGCTGTGGCTCCTTGTTCCCGATGAAGATGCGTGACGAGCATGATTCAGGGTTTGACGTAGGATGTAGTCGCGAGGGTAACGCGCCTTCTCGCCGGCAGGGTCATCATCCGACAATTCGGGTGGGTTCCATTTCCAAAGCTTCCTGTATTTTGACGAAATATGATAGGGATAATAGTATGGACCTATCCGGGAGTGGAGTCTAGAGTGCACACGACAGCTGATGCCGGCGACCCGATAACCCAGATACTGGTCATGACTGTTGTTTTCCTGCTCGTTGCCTACCAAATTTTGCTTGAGGAAGTTGAAGGATGAGATGGCAACATGGCAGTGTGCACTGATTAAAGCAAATCCATCCCTGTTCTGGACATATTCTCGGGCAGATAAATGGCAAAAATGCCACAGTTCTGTTCCTTGATCATGGATCAGAAGATTACCACAAATTCCAAGAATATCGTCTTTCCCAAGATTGTCGTAGGGTTGAACTTTACAAGAATCGGGGCCCATCTGCATTGCTATCGATAATTCGACGGTGTGCAGAGGCTCAAACGCACACAGTACCCAGACGAATGCTCTTTCAGCTAAACGGTTTCGCCCGCGCGGCATATCCTGAATCTGGCTCCAGACAATGTCGTATGCTTCTTCGAGGCCTTTCGGGGCTCTTTCTAGATGGTCTGCAATTGTTGATGCGCTCCATGGGATCAACCTTTTAAGTTGTTGGATCTGCAAAGCCGCCCATTGAAACATGCCCTTGCTCTTTTCTTGGAAGGCATCTTGAATTTGTTGCTGACTTTCTGGGCCTAGCTGGCCCCATCGGGAGTCTGAGGATAGTTCGTCTCGTACGAACGTGGAGATGTCTTCCTCGTTATCTGTCGCTTGAATCTCAATAATTGGTTGAGATTGGAAGTGACGCTGGATATCGTCGTCAGTCCGACTTGAAAGAAAGATTCGAATACTTGGATTGACTTGAACAAGCTCATCAAAAGTTGCCATTATCTCCCATCTGTTGTCTCTATCACATTCGTCAAGAGCATCGAGTATGATGGTGATTTTGGAGTAGTCCTTGGTGATCTCCCCAATGAGACTTTTGCAAGTGGATACGTCAAGCGTCATACCCTTACTTTCCAACATGTCTGGGAGGCTCTTCAATAAGGGGTGGATTTTGCGTTCGTCAGAGACAATATCTGAGGACAGTTGTCGCAGAATACTCCGAAAGATATCTTGGGGATTCCTTCGGTTCTCCTCATCCCTCTTGCAGTAGAAGAATGCCACTGCCTCGTTACGCTTGGCGTTCTCGACAACAAAATCGACGACTCTTGACGTGAGAAATGTCTTTCCAGCACCAGCTAGCACATGTCAGCGCGGTGGTTTCTTCGAACGTGCTACGTGACAAACTCACGAATGCCGTACAAAACAACCAGTGTGGAACCTCCTTCCATCCATCGCGTCAATTTGGTATTAGTTATTAACCAGTCGCAGGTGCCAGCGGTTCTCTTTACTCTGACACTTCGATGATGAGCCTGAAACAGGATGTCCGAGATTTTACGGAGCGTGCGTAGACGTTCCTTTTCATAGATCTGCACGAGAATTCGGTTCACTCGGTCGTTCACCTGACCCAGGGATGTTTGATGGCCCTCGAGCATGGTGAGGTACTTATGCTCAAATCGGTGACTTGAGACCCTCTTGCAGACATCCCCACGGTCAGTGACCTTTTTGTGCTGCTCTTCCAATTGCCCTATAATTTCTGCGGGGGCAGAACTATTAAAAACTGCGGCCACCTTTCGCATCGTCTTACTTTTGCTGAAAAATGAGTAACAGAATTGCAGAGCGCCCAATAGTCCGGAGTAAAGGTCCACTATCTCTCGATGCAGGTAGTGAAGTGACTCAAGACCAATGTGATTCCCGTACTGAGACTCTTCAAGGTGCATGGACTTCTTCGTGTAGACCAATTCGAATACGCGACCGGTAAAGAGAAGACGTGGGATTGATGCGAGGAGTTCCACGAACTTCTGAGCATGTTCTTGTTCTGCAACCAAATGCTGTCCAGAGTTAGCCTTCATCGAGTATTGGGCCATTAAGTATTGGGCGAGAGATCATTCTTCTATGGATGGAAGTGCTTACCTGCAGGACGAATCGGAAAGCAGCCCAAGGTAGCGCCGCGTGCACCGGATCGAAGGAGGAGACGACATCGCCAATGCCCTTGAACTTATCGATCCATTTGATCATGTTCTCGAAGACCGGCCTCAGCTCGAACTTGTGTTTCCCAGCCTTCAAAGTAAAGCTGTGTCGGCCCTTCTCCAGCTCTTCCTGCTTTTTGTGTGCCTCGCTGATGAGTTCGTCGATCAATTGGGCACCTATCGGGCTTTGCTGTGAGTCGTCATTGAGGTTGAACAGCCATTCTTGCACGTCCTCGGGGAGGCGCTCGCGGGCTTTGGCCCACAGATCAGGTGCTTCGGTCATTTGTCCAGAGCCTGGCACCTGCTGCTGCTAGCGAAAATTGCTGAAGAGGTCGTTAGAGCGGGGAGAGAGAGGTGATCGCCTTCGCGTGTGAAAGCAGCAGGACAGGATCCTCCAATCATCAAGCTGACATGGTCTGACGCGCTGCAAATGCAGCTTACTGGAATGAGCTTAGTGCGACAACTCCGAACCCCAGCATCAGCATCTCCCAAATTATGCCTTGCCGCAGTCGTGGCGATATGAGTGGCTGTCTCTCTGAGCAGTGGAAGAGCGCTCCAGTCAGCACTTCGGGCGATGATGCAAGGACCTGCTTCTTATCTCTGATAATAGATTCAATAGTAATGATATACGATATTCAGCGAGGATAAGACTGGAGCAAAATATTAATCGGAATCACTATAAAAATGACTGCTGCGCCCTGGCTTCTATGATACAGTCAACGGAGACTATGCCGCCGACAAAGGTACTGGAGCAAAAGAGAGTATCACCAGAAAAAACAAACAAGACAAAAGCAAGATCATGACCCCTCAGAAGGTTACATGCCGATCCCTGGAAAAGCCACCCGTTCCTGAACGCCCTATGCTTGGCCTCTTTTTTTCTTCTCAGCACGTGCCCAACATATCTCTCTGGCATCTCGTCATTGCATGCGGCATTTTGATGAGTCGTTAGGGGACAAGTCACCCTACTCCTTGTCCGCTGGCTTGTCTTCGGGCTTCTCGTCCACATCCATCTTGTCTTCTTCGGGTTCCGGCGCCTTGTCTTCTGGCTTCTCGGTGGTCTCCTTGTCCTTCTCGGCAGACTCCTTCTCCTCGGCAGCCGGCTCTTCCGCAGTAGGTTCCTTGGCTTCGGCCTTCTCTGGCTCTGCGGCTTCGGGCTCTTTACTAGCTTCTTTCTCGGCCTCCTTTGCAGGTTCCTTAACAGCTTCCGTGGATTCCGCAGCCTCTGCCTTGTCAGTCGTCTCTGTTGCGGCAGGCTCAGCTGGCTCGGCAGATGGTTTGCGGGATGCAGGTTTATCTTCCTTATCCTCCTTTTCGGCCACCTTCGCGGGTTCCGCCTCAGTCTCCTCCTTCTTGATGGTGGTCGTGGGCTCGTCAGTATCGACGCTATCCTCCATGCCGACATCTCCATCGCCGTCGACGATCTCCTTGGGGGCTTCAGGAGCAGCCTCCTTTTCGGCAGCCTTCTCCGATGACTCCTCTGTGTCGACGGGGTTCTCGAGGGTAATATCGGCGTCGACAATCGGCTCAGCATTGGGGGCTTCCTCGTCGGCGGCTCCGTTGACGGGCGACGCAGCGCTGCTGTTGGCTTCGGCCTCCTTTTGTTTGAAGTCGCGGAACGTCCGCTTCTTTGCGTTACGAGGGCGGGTGATTCCGTTTGCCTGCTCCATATCTTCGTCGTCGCTGTCTTCGAAGTCGGCCTCGTTGTTCGTGCGCTGTTCCCAGCGGCGTTGCGTCATGCGCTCGTCGGGGTGCTCGTCGTCGTCCAGGTCGTTCAACTCGGCCTCCTCTTCGTCCGTCATGCCACCAGGTAGTGGTTGGCGGGGCACATCTTGCATTTGGACAGAGGGAACGGGTTGTGTGTGTCGCAGGTTGTCGATGACGGCAGCCTTGATCTTTTCGAGGTATTCGAAGCTGTTGGAATTCTCCATGTTGGAGGGTCGGACGTTCAACTCGAAATCGGGTGCATAGTACTAGGAAGAGTTAGCCATGTTACAGCGACGGCATTACAGAGAACCTACTTCGTAGTATTCATTGTAAGGCAGCGTCCTGGGCAGGTGCTTGCCGACAAGAACACCAGTCTCATATGCCCAAGTACGGGCGACGTTACGCATGGTGTAGCCACCACCGCCAAGAACAAGGGTGGGCAACCCGAAGCTCTTGACGTACCCGACGCAGTTGGCATGGCCCTCCATGCTGAGGTTGAAGCAACCCAAACGGTCTCCACTGAGACTGTCACCGCCGCATTGGAGAACGACAGCCTCGGGCTGGTAGAACTTCATGACGTGTTCGATAACGGGTTCGAAAATAGACTTGTACGAGTTGTCGTCGATACCATCGCGGAGGGGGAAGTTGACGGCGTAGTACTTGCCGGTACCGATGCCGATGTCGCGCAGCTCACCAGTGCCAGGGAAGTATTCGCCGTACTTGTGGAAGGAGACGGTCATGACACGGTCGGTCGTATAGAAGGCCTCCTCGACACCATCTCCGTGGTGGACGTCAATATCGATGTAGAGGACGCGCTTCTTGAATCGAAGGAGTTCGAGGATACCGAGGACAATGTCTGTAGGCTGTTAGCTGGCGCGCGTCGCGGGCATGATAGAGTGGTCTTGTGTACCGTTGACGTAACAGAAACCACTGGCTTCGCTCTTCTTGGCGTGGTGGAGGCCACCAGCCCAGTTGACGGCGATGTCGCACTTTTGGCGGTTGAGGCGGGCAGCGCCCTCCATGCTGCCACCGGCGCTGATGCCGCAGAACTCAAACAGGCCGTCAAAGACGGGACAGTCGTCTCCGACGTTGTATTTGCCCTGCTCCTTCTGATAGGCGTCCATGTTGTCGGGTGTGACCTTTTGCAGGAAGTCGATGTACTCGTCCGTGTGGAACTGGGTCATTTCACCCCTAGTCGCAGGCTTTGCGCGCTACAAATGACAAGTTAGCAGCAATCGCGTCGGGTTCGCAGGCGCGTAACGTACGTAGATCTCCATGTTCTTGAACAGGTCGTAGTGCATGATCAGACTGTGGGCAAGGCGAATACGGTGCGGCTTCATGGGGTGACCGGTAACGTAGGCATAGTTGCCAATGTCGGAGTCGTAGAAATATGCGACCTTCTTTGGGGACGACGAAGACCCATTGGCCAGGGCCACCGATCCGAGAGGTGACATGGCGTCGGTCGTTGGGGATATTCTGTGGTTGTGTAGTATATTCGATCGATCGTGATGATTGGAATTTGGTGGTGGAGTGGTGGTGGAGGGAAGGATGGGAAAGACGAGCGAAGGCTGCGCGTGGGCGTGGAAGCTCTGATCGGCTCGGCCCCAGATTTCCCAAGGCTGGGTGCACCGAAAAAGTCAGGCCAATGGGGGCCACGGATGACAGGCCAGGGGTGCAGGCTGTTGGAGGAGCTTTTCGTCCAATGAGGTAATTGGACACAGCGAGGTGAGGGACGGCAGGTGAGATATTCCGACCAACAGTGTTGTTTGATTCGTCAGCAGCAGCTGGGAGGTGCCAGCCGACATCGCCCAATCAGCGTCGCCAGTGGGGAGGCGGCGAGGTGCTGGAGGGGCTGAAAGGTACATTGCCGACAGGAGCAGGAAACATATCAGGCACTCTCTTCATTTCCATAAAGAGAGAGACAAATTCTCATCAGATTTGCGTTGTTGAACTTAATTTTTTTTTTATGTAAATATGAGATTTTGTTTTGGTCTTGCTATTATCATCATTTCCATGTCCACCCTGGAACCTGAAGCGTGGGTCCGGATTGAGCAGGCGGTGTGGCTGGGATTGGGCGCATGCACGAATGCAGCCCACCTGTGGCTTTACAGTGATGATAAGCCACAACCCCTCGCTCTTGGTACTTCGACACTGTCACTCAACAATCGAAACACGAGGCGCAACAAGCTCAAGATAATATTCGAAGTCAAGTTGCCGATCTGCTGAGTCAAATCATTCGGCTTTCATACTAAGTTGAACGAGAACAATTGATCAAGAAATACCAGCGCCACGGCCACACGTGACTGTTTGTCAGCTGTGTGGTACGTACCGGACCGGGCTAGCTCCGCCGGGTCCTTTTTCGCCAGGCTGCTCAGAGCTGTCGTCAACAACTCACGAGCCAGCTGCTTCCATCCAACTCCATCACCTCAACCGCCTCCCTCCGCAGACTCTACGAACGAACACCGCCCAACCCGCGACACCCCCAATCCGTATTTTCCACCAAATCCCTTCATCATACACAGATCATCACAATGGAGCGCTTCCGCAACATGCTCCAGTCCCAAGGCCTCGGTGGCCTGGGCAGCCAGCCCGGAACGGTAAGAGCATCCCACCTTCTGAAGCTACCAGGATAGCTACGACGACAGCATCGCCCTCGACCACGTGCTGACTTTTGAACGCAGGACAACACACAGCTCATCGACAACTCCGAGACCGTCTACATCTCTTCCCTCGCCCTCCTCAAGATGTTGCGACACGGCCGCGCTGGTGTTCCCATGGAAGTCATGGGTCTGATGCTGGGAGAGTTCGTCGACGACTTCACGGTGCGCGTGGTGGATGTCTTTGCCATGCCTCAGAGCGGTACCGGTGTTAGTGTAGAGGCCGTCGACCCTGTCTTCCAAATGAAGATGATGGACATGTTGAGACAAACCGGAAGGTAGGAATGCACCTCGACGCGACCTCGAAGCCATTACTGACTAGCAATCGACAGACCCGAAGCCGTCGTCGGCTGGTACCACTCCCATCCTGGTTTCGGATGCTGGCTTTCCTCCGTCGATATCAACACCCAGCAGTCTTTCGAGCAGCTAACCCCTCGCGCCGTCGCCGTCGTCGTCGACCCCATCCAATCCGTCAAGGGCAAGGTCGTCATTGACGCCTTCCGCCTCATCAACCCCCAGTCGCTCATGCTTGGTCAAGAGCCTCGTCAGAGCACAAGTAACTTGGGACACCTCAACAAGCCCTCAATCCAGGCTCTGATTCACGGCCTTAACCGACACTACTACTCGATTGGCATCAACTACCGGAAGACGGCACTGGAGGAGAACATGTTGATGAACCTGCACAAGCACGTCTGGACCGAGGCGTTGGAGATGAACGACTTCAGGGCCGAGGCAGACTGCAACAAGGAGCGTCTGGAGCGTCTCGTCAGCCTGGCTGAGGGCTACGAGAAGCGCGTCAAGGAGGAGACGGAGCTCACCAAGGACCAGCTCAAGACCCGCTACGTCGGCAAGCTTGACCCCAAGAAGCATTTGGAGGACGTCGGCCAGCAGTTGATCGAGGACAACATCGTTTCTGTGTCGAGACAGATGATCGACAAGGAGGCGACGATGCCCAAAAAGGACGGTGCCAAGGGCCAATCAAACGGCGATTCGATGGACGTGGAGGAGGAGTTGTGAGTGGAAACGGGCCACAATTCGGGGGCGGTCCAGAGGCGGGATACCAGGACTTTACCGGAACTGTACGATTAGGCGTTTGGGTGGTTGGGAACGCAACGACTAGAGACCCCGCCAGGCATAAGACGAACGATTTTACAAAACCAATTGCATCGAATTGAAGAACCACCGCCGTGGTCGAGATGGTTATGGACGGTTCTTTGTTCATCAACAAGTCCCATTTCCGATATTCTCCGCTCTTCTCTCGTGACTGACAATGGTCCAGAACAACGTAGAAGCGCTACTATTACTCCATTGTCCAGAGACAGCGACGGTGCTCAGACACTCAAGTAGTGGACGGGCATCTCTCAAGCTTTTACTTATATCGTGTACAGCACCATCTTGACCATGACAGAGACTAAATCAAATCGCGAAAAGCGTCACTGCAATCTTAGGCAACAAGCACTTTGTCAAATACCCCTTCTCCGGAATCCCTCAGACGTCCACGGAATGCGACGTCGCTACCGTTCGAACACCCTCAGCCGTCTCTTTTGTCTCCCCCGTCTTCGGCCGCCTAGTCAGGCCAGCGAACATCATTCCACCAGATCTGCTGCACAGTCTTCAGGCAACGACCGCGTGAAAACCTCGACTATTTCTCGCGCTGAGAAGGTCAAAGCTTTCAGCCTGCTTCCGATCCCTCCATACTGGCGATACAAACGGCGCCCTCCCCTACCCTCACCCAGGTCTGACTACAGCTACCAAGCCTTCTTACTAGAGACCGACGCAACCATGCAATATGCTCCATCTATCGCAGACAGCCAGTACACTGATGTCTCTCTCCCTCCATCACCGCCTCTTCGCATGTGCAAATCAACCTTATTCGAAGTACTCCACCGTATCGGGCATGTCTTCTCCCACGTACAGTACGCTGTCTGCGGCACCGCTGCCATGGTGGCCTTTGGCTTTGACAGACGCAAGCCGACGCACATTAGCATTGTCTGCCCGTCCCACACTAGATACGTACTGGCTTCGTGGGCCGTGGCCGGCGGCATGGCTCTGTACCCATCCAAACCCAACGAGATTGGCGTCCCCGTCGACGGAGACACGTGGATGATCCAGGTGAAGTACCTCGAGACGGACGACAATCACAGATTCGAACGGCTAGACGCTTTTCACTTCAACTTTGGGTGTAATGATGTTACCACGGCGGTCTTGACCCCGGCAGCTCAACTCGAACAGATTGCCCAGGTGTACATCAACCCGCGGTACAACCAGAGCTGGCGGTACAAGGAGAGGTTAGGAGGCGATGCCATCTGGCTGTTGGAGCAGATGTGTAAGGAGGACGTGCACAAGGTTGGTATGAATTTGAGGAATGCGAATGTCCCGACGATCAGGGACCAGAGGTTTTGGCTTGTCTTCACGACGGCGCATCCGGAGGCAGTGGGGTTATTTTACGATGCTGGATTAAGAGATGAAGAGGAAGAGGTGAGTATCAGCGAACGGGGAAATCGACAGGAGTGTGGGCAGCAGCATGAGCAAGACCATGCACATACGCAAGAGTATGAACAAGACCATGCGCACACGCAGGAGTACGCGCACGAGTATGAGCAGGAGTATGAGCGGGAGATTGAGCAAGAGTATGATCAGGATCAGGGCCCTGAGCAGGAGCAGGTACGAGTCGAATCGCCAGTGTCACCGCATGATCCACCTCTAGAGCAACCCCGACGCAGAGAGGAGAGCGGGCGTTCGAGACGCAGATCATCTCGGGTCCGTTCCCGCTCCCGCACTCGCACCGACCAGGGGCCTCGCCGCCGGCGACGGCCATCTGAACATGGGCCGATCTTGACCCGGGCGGAAGAGAGGCGGGTTGCCATGGACAGAGCACGGGCTCGGGGCCAGGTCAGACGTCGCAGCTCGCAGGAGCCGAACAAGTTTTCATTGAGTGGTGCTCTCGATAGCTTGCTTGGCGGTGGCCATCGGGATGGGTACAGAAGATGATCGCTTGGTAAGTTCACCTTCCAACTTGTTGGAAATGCACGATTGGGAAATTTTCTTGACTCAAGTTGTGTGATTGTTTTGCCTCTGATCGAGGTTTCGCTGTGTAAATTATTCTACAAAGGAGATGATTCCGAATCCCCTTTCTATTGTTTACGCCCGCCTTTGATCATCCTGTTCCCGTGCATGATCCCCTTTCAGAAAACCCGCTTCGCTGGTATAACAAATGAAATAATCCCTTCCTGTACCCGCCACCCTGAATCCCCGCGAATTGCTCCGCACATGTTCGTCGTCATCTATCCCGTCTATTACCCCATTACTGTCTTCCGTATCCGTGCTGGGTGTACTGCTGTCCGTACGTCTGCTGAGGGTACGCCGGCTGGTACGCCTGCTGCTGCGCATACTGCTGCTGCTGTTGCTGGTGGGTGTACCCCTGCGTCTGCTGTCCGTAGGCCGCGGTCGCATACCTCTGCTCGTCGCCGTTCTTCCTCTGCTCGCGGCGCACCTCCTGGATCTGCACGCTCTCGACGCTCTGGTCCTCGCAGCGGCTCTCGAGGGGCGCGGCATCGTGGCCCATGGCGCCGCGGCGGACGCCGTTCTTCTTGAAGTAGCGGAAGTCGAGCCAGGCGATGATGGTGGCGTAGCCGGCGACCATGGAGAGCAGGATGCCGAGGACGACGACGACCCAGCCGATGGTGCAGGAGGTGCCGATGCAGGACTGCTGGGTCTGGGACTGGATGCCCATGTAGACGACGGCGGCCCAGAAGACGATCTCCATGGCGTTGAGGATGAGGTTGGCCTTGAGCGAGGCCCAGCGGTGCAAGGCGGGGACGTGTTCGGTGAGGACTTGGTAGAGGATGATGGCGAGGGACTTTGCGGACTGTGGGGGGAGAGTGTTAGTTGATGTTGGTTTGGATGTGGGGATAATAGAAACGCTTACCATGCCCAGCGCCATCGTGCCTGATCTACCCCTGGGACGGTTCGGCATGAAGATGCGTGCTACTGAGAGACCGAGGGCTGCTGCTACGAGGAGGAGCTGGACCATGTGGATGGGGAACTTGAGTTTGCTGGAGAAGAGGGCGTTCATCTTGGCGGTGTTGGTGTTGGTGATGTTCGGAATGGGGTCGGAGTGGGTATCGTGTTGGTGTTGATGGTATTGATGTTCGAATATCAGACTCTTGCAAGGCAAATGGGAAAATTGAAGATTTATGAAATGGAAATCTTGAGCCTTGAGTCTCGTAGACTGAGTTGAGTTGTCTTGTGTGAGTGTCTTGGTGTTCTTCCAAAAACATCAACACATCGCCGGGCCTCACGGCCGTCTATATACCAAGACGAAATTCGCATTGCATCTTTTACACGTATTCGGTAGAGTTTGATACCTCAATTCCCATAACACCGGGCCTTTTCGCTCGTCAATCTCCAGGGAACAAGCACAGCCATCAGCCGCAGCCTCTTTTTTCGGCGGGTTTGCGGGCTGGCTGGAACGGATCTTCTCACGCACAATTTGCAGTGGTTCTGTTTCGGTCTCGGTTTTAGGGGGCGGGTTGGGCAATTGTGGTTATCTTCCGCAGTAATACAAACAAGGCCAGACACTCACTGCGTTGGCGCTAATACTAGATAACGTGCTTCTTCTTCTCCCTGGGCCCTGCACAAAGTGGGAACACAGCCCCAAAAATGGTCTCTTCGGTCTCGGTTTCCCACTGCATAAGCCACCGGCCGAATTGATAGCACTAACATCTAAGCATACGCGTATCCACCGAATAGAGTTAACCCATGGATGGTCTTCTCTCCCTACTGACGGATCTGCCTTTTCTTCGACTCATTCTTTGAACCCTGAGGTTTTTTCTCTCATGTCTGACGGGATCCATAATTTCCCTCCCTGTCCGTCTGTCAGAACTTCACTGCCGCCTGCCAAGACGAGGTGACACGCCAGCAGCGCCAGCAGGCTGGGCCCAGGCTTCTGGAACGGCCGCACACTCTCACACGCGCACCCCTGACGGACCCCGTTTTCTGGGCTCTGGCGGGCAACAGATTGGCGCGGATTATCATTTGGGACGATTTGGCGGGCCTGGTTCAGTCTGCCTCTGCATGGGATGGAAATGCGCCTTGCGCTCAGGTGTGGGGGCACATGAGGTTTCTGGTATTAGAGAAAGCGAGGTGCATGGGGGCTGGACGCTAACAGATGAGTCTGAGGCTCGGTTTCGATGTTGATTGCTAGGAGATTATTGATAATCAGAGAGTGGCTTTCTGTTGAAGGATCCGGTTTTTAAGAAAATTTCTCCCGGATATTGTTGGCTTTGCCACGACGGACGGCTTCTAAATCTCCTATTCAATCCGAGCCCTGTTGTTCACGAAGTTGGTTGGCTCACATACGAGAGCACGTCAGATTTTAGGTTGTCAATAACCAGTACTTTTCTTCTTATCTATTCGACTTTCAATATTTCATACTTTCAGCCAGTCGAAAGTCTCTTGGTCGGCGTGGTCGATGACCTTCCCCCTTCGTGGCTGGCGTTCTGCGTTGTCAAGTACCTGCAGTGCCGTTTTCCGGATTATCCACAAGATCCTCCTTTCGACCCCAGATGTTCGTTAGGCAGGGAAGATGCTTATTTGTAAGTTTAATGTTGCTAGCTGAATTTGAGGGTTCGTTACGCCGAGTACAGGTTGCTGACCGGCAGTTCGGATGTTCGGATCAGGTATCGCAAGTTCGGGGTTCCGAATCGTGAGTCCAATGCTCCCAACAGCATCGACGGCCAGCTAGCAGCGAAGACTTTAGGCTGAAGTGTTCCACTTGACTACGATCCAATGAGATCCAGTTCTTCGTTCGAACCGGTAACGATGTGCGCTAGCGTCCAGCCTTTTGAGTCTCAACGTTTTGACTAGCGTGAGGTTATCATATCCATTCTGGCTGTTTCGTTCGTTTTCATATCCTTCACCGTTTTTCTGCTAGACCTTAACAGTATCGGAAGCAAATTCTCCCATTGGATTCCCTTCCCAAATGCGAGTTTGGTCATGGACAGCTGGCGCCTCTCGTCAGTATTCTTGTAGCACCTTCAAAGTTGTTGTCGAACACTTGTGCTAATGTCTCAGCAAACCAATAGCCCGACCTCGGCCATATGTTTTTTCATAGTGGCCACCTGGAAGCACCGTCCAAATCCCGCATACGAGATACTCCCAGAACTGCTCTCTGGATGCAATAGATGCTCACATGGAAGGTTTAATCCAGGAAGTTGACGGCTTGAGAGACTCTACTCCCCACGATAAAATCCGAACGGTAGACAGGCAAATACCTTTCATGACGGGCCATCCTCTTTGTCTTTCGGACTCACGTCTGTCGAATCGCCTGCTTTCGGCTCACCCGACGACTCCCAAACGACAGACCCAAAATAATCACCCTGGCTCTGCCGATTGCCTCTGTCCGTATGCCGCCTCGGTGGCGGTTGCAGTGGCGTAGGCAGCTCTGGTTCGTGCCCCGGCGCCTCGAGCATGAGAAACTCGACGCCGTCATCCGTATCGACCCTCGTCAATGGCAAAGTCATCGTCATGGCCGCTTTCAACTCCTCTCGCGTCTTGAACGTATCCCGGGTCCTTAGATCCGTCCGCGCTTCGTGGGCTTCGTCGATATGTATCGCAGGTGGTATCGTCACCCCAGACAGGCTCCGAGCGTACTCGTCCACGATCCGAGGACTCTCCATATCCTCGATCGCGTGTTGCGATGCTTGAGAAACAGGTCGGGATCGTCTCTTCTGCGAAGTGGTGGCGCCATCAGATTGTGTGTACAATTCCGTGTCTGCGCTGTCTTCGAGATTCCTCTGCACGTAAGTCCGCTTAATTACTGGGCTCAGGCTCTGGGTGCCCAATAACGGCCGCAAGGTCGGTATGCAGACGCAGATGATGGCACAGCATAGTTCTGTTATCGACCAGATGCCGGCGACGACGGTGTTGTATGTTGGGTCAGTCGATGTCGCTGACGACTTGAGTGTTGTAAGTCGTATGACAGATATCGCGCATGTGCTATTACAACTGTTAGCCACTCTTCGTCTAAACCACGTCTTCAGCTAGACGTACAAGAAACCGAGACCAAACGTCGCCATGAGAACAATCTTTTGTCTCAATGGCACGGCAAGAGTCCTCAGCAGAGGAACGGGCATAACGAAGATTATGATGTCTGTAATCAGGTTTATCGCCGATCCAGCATACCACCAGTCTAACAACTTGAAGCATTTGCCCTGAACTGAGAAGTCCCATAAGGCTCGCAGTGGAACGCAGGCGAAGCAGAGCGACACCACCTGCGTGAACCCGAAGGTCATTATGAATATTAAGAATATGTTGCAAAGCTTTTGAAATGGCGGCAGCGGAAAGACTCGTCGGTACTGGAGAAGAAACGTGGATTTGATTAGGGGCATTGCCTGCATGGTGTTTAGTGATCTTTCTTCTCCCAGGATGGTCTTTGTCCGACGGAAGCTCTGTTTATGCAACTTACCGCTTGGTATACGGCAACAGCAGCGATGGCAATCTCTTGCGTTTTCAGGTAGTTTTCGCGCGTGAGGGTGGCCTTGTGGAGGCCGTCTCCGTAATGTGTGTTGATTAGCATCAACAGGCCGGTAACAAATACAAGGACCTGCCAGTCCCGTCAGCATCGTCTTTCCAACCCAAATCGCACAAAGTACGTACGTATGAGAAAACAAGGGCAGTGTCATCAGGTCCCCATCTTCTTAACCTCCACCTGCGGACGTATATCCTTAATGCGGCGACGATAGACGCCAAGAATAACGCAGTTAACGTAACCCCGATGACAAGCGGCTGTCTCGTTTCCCTCGCATTTACGGCCGGCAGTGTCGTGTTTGTCACTACGGGACTGCCACCAATTTTCGGTACCGTCCCCAATGTCGGGTCATCGTCGATGGGATCCATCGTTGTCCGCCTTCTTCCCCGCCCCCAGGGAAATCCTCGCCCGCTGCGGGGCTCACGTTATTCGAAGCCGAGATCGATGTACGAATATCAGCGGTCTGCTCGAGGGATCGTCGCTACCGTTATACCACTTCGTTACTTATCACAAGGTCGAGTTGGTCTCCGATTCATTTTCTCGTCTTGAAGCCAAAGACATGCGTAGTCGTAAGCATTCGTGTCTCTAGGGACCATCAAAAAATGCTGTTAGGTTTGGTAAATGAAGAGGCGCCTGGAGGAACGGACTGCTAACAACCGGCACCTAACCGCTCCCACAGGCATAGCCAGCAGGTGACCGGTGGGTGGTAACGTGTGCCCAGTGCTCGGCGAGATAGAGTTGCCGCTAGATGCAAAGTTGCCCATCCCTCCATCCCACGAGGTCTCAGAAGCGGAGCATGGATATTCTTACGATCCTTGTGTCTGCCCATGACTCGAATCCGGTTCATTTCCAGTTCCCCATGAGAGAATACATATCAGATCGGCATACCTGCAAGGTCGCTGGGTTTCGAGTACCCGGCGAGTTGTAAAGGGAACATGCAAGGCAGTGGGATACCGTTTGTCGCCATCGCCGGTTCATGCGACTTCCAGACTCGTTCGGGCGAGACAGCTTCCATGACCGGCTCCGAGAACCATCCCAATCTCATAATGGTTTCGTGCCTGAAAACGTCCAGCCAACATTGGTCCAGTTGAAGGAAAGTATGGAAGCCGTCCTAGCGTGCCAACCTCCTTCGATACAGTAGCGCAGGCAAGAGACGACGATCAGTTTCTCTGAAGGATTCTGCCTTTGGCTAGGTTGTTTACCGGGTGTTTCGTGTACAGAAAAGTATGCTTGCCGAGAATTCAAACCTAACACTCGATGACGTTCATTTGGCGATGAGATGCTTACCGCCAATGGGCGTCTTCGTCCGGAGGTTGGATAGGACGAAATCGTATCTTGTTTGAGAGTCCCACACCCACCCGAGCCCCGAACGGGCCTTCTCCGGTGCTCGGCCCCATCGGCTCCGCCTCCCCGGCGGGTTTAGCTGGGTGGGAGGCGAGTGACATGAAAGCTTGTGCGAGTCAGGTTGCAAGATGTATCGTGTAGTTCGGGAAGTTCGGCGGCTATTACTTGATTTGGACGGCCGTCGAAAGTGGCAGGTTGGCTGTTATGAATGCGTGCCTGCAGGAACAACAAAAAACTTATTGTGAAGCCTGCGAGTCGTCCACCTTGATGAACTAATCGACCTTTCAGTTTGTCTCATGGCACAGGTTGCTTAACGTTAGGTCTGTATTGGATGTAACAAGTTCAGGACGTGAGGGAAATATTAGTTAAGCTGCATGGATAATGAAGGAGTCGTGTTCTGCTTCTTTTGTTCCGTAGCTGATTGCAGTTGTCTCCCCGAGTGAACTTCCTCGCGTGGCCACATCTTGCGTGCTGTCTTTAGTACAGCTGAAGACCTCGGATCTAATTCCGAACCCAGCCTTCTTTTCTCTGATGCGCAAGGTTCGATTCCAACAGGAGCATCATATGTTCAGCCATAGCTGCCTTTCCCTCATCTACCTGCTTCTGGGTCCAGCGAGCTGACGGCATTATGCGTCTTCCGACGTGATACCATTCGAAAGATTTCTCGCGAGGCATCAAAAGCTTTAGAATGTCATCCAGGGGTTTGCCACTTTCTATCGCCTGAGCTATCATCGGCCCGAAATCTTTGTACATGATTTCCGCGATCATGCAGGCTCTGTGGGTCCAGTTTTTGGACTTGGATTCTTGTGAAGGTGGATGAGCCCATCTGCGTGTAACTGGGCTCGTGTTGTAGGTGTGTAAAGTTGTGAGCCTTTGAAGATTCGCCGAATTTGCCAGAAGCTTAGCAACCATGACTGAGCGAATTCGATAATTTGCATCACCACCGCCGATTATGGGCCTTCGGCCTAATTCGAGATAAGTCTTAAACGTGATAGACCGTAGGTAGCTCCGGCTTTTGGGACCGATATTCCGAAGCCAACCTAAGAGACCTCCCATCTGACCAGTGTGCAGAAACGCATAATCAAGAGGGTGCTGGATTACGAAAAAGTCTCTCGAGTATAGAAATTTGATGGCCTCGTCGTGCAATATCCTGCAGGTTCTCAGAAGAGAAGCAGTCGGGTAAAAAAAACCGGGCATTATCACATGTTCTTTGTTGATGCTGGCCATAACTGTTAGCTTCTAGTACGCAAAGTCCCATGAGATAACATTTACCAGCAGCCTTCCTTTTCATAGCCCTCTATGACGAGGTGATTAACGACAACCAGTTGGTAAATCATGTATCGCAACTCTATAGGAAGTTTTCTAATGAGGGGAGTCAAGACATTGGTCGTGGCAATTGAGGGTACTGAAGACTTAAAACAATGAGGATGGGCGAACCTGGGGGTCCTTTGAATCATCTGCCTGTGGTGTGTGTGAGTTGTCGTGCAGCAGCAATACGAAGCAGGAGACGGAAAGACGGAATTGAGCAGCAATGAAAGGGCCTCGGAAATGCTAATTCCCAAGATGAATATTGGAAACCACTTTACCTCCTTTGTTAATTCAGCATTGGTCAAGCATCCTAGCTGTTCGGGAAACTTTCTTTCTGACTTGGGCGTTGTTTTGGAAAGGTTAAGATCATCTTCACCGGCTTCATTCGTAACTGGAAAAGGCTGACTCGGAGGTGTCAACTCAAGCAGCCTACGGCTGCGTCGAGACATTATGAAGAATTTTGGTTAGTTGACTGCAGCACAGCGCTTGTTGTGGCGGTGTGTTCAAAAAATCAAATTCAACAAAAAATGGGTGAAAAAGTCATTCGAGGCCACAAGTGACAACAAAAATTTGAAACTCCACCTACCTTGAGAGGTTTCTTCGTTCTCTTGAGTTCTCTTGTCTTGTTTCTAGCCCTAACTATCAGGGTTGTCGATCCACGAGGCAATTTTGGATGGATCATGGATATGGGCGTGTTTTGGGCAGGAACTTGAGATGGCGTCGTTTAACATTGACGACGATTTTTACCAAAGATAGAAGCCCTTTCTAGCCACCTTGAAGATTTTGAAATTTCTATCATTTTGCAACTTTTCACTTTTTTCATCGAGATGATTGTATCATTTTTACAGCAAAGCAGAGTTTGCCAGCATTGTGTACTCCCACTACGGGCGAAGTCGCGGAAAGCACAAGCCTGTGATAAAGTCGCGCTGGTCTGATAATCGAGAGCCGTGAACTGCCCAAAAGAATCGAAGAAACCAAGAAGTAGTCTCTTCGCCCATTCCGAACCATCCGTATGCCTGCCTCAACCCTAACTAAGGTAGGTTGCGAATTTCCTTTCTCCGATACAACACGTTTCTCTCCAGCAGACACATCATGTGTTCAATCATTGCCGCTTTGGCCTCGTTGGCCTGTTCTTCTGTGCACTCGTGCAATATCTTTCCGCGTTCCATCATGTAAAAGCGAAAAGACTCATTACATGGCGCCAGAATCTTGGAAATGTCCTCAAATGGCCTGCCATTGGATATCGCACGTGAGATCAATGGTCGAAAGCCATCGTAGAGTAGTTCTGCAACCTTGCAGGCATCCAGAGTCCAATGCTTGGATTCGGACTCGTCGGTAGGTGGATGACTCAGACGGATGCCGGTGGTGTCAAATCGAAACGAAGTGCTGAACTTCTGGAGTTGCGTCGATTCGGCGAGAAGTCGTCCGATCTTTCCAAAATACTCCCGATAATTCTCGCGATTGACATCCCCGGGCGAATAGTCTAAAGAATAGCTCAAAGACAGGGATCGGAGGTTGCTTCGGTTCAGAGGACCAATTCTCTTCAGCCAGTCCCAGCATGACCACACGGGTGTCCATGGGTCGCGAATTAAAAGCTTCCTCGAGTACAAAAAGTTGGCAGCTTCTAAATGTATCAACTGGCAAGTCCTAAGAATAGAGACTGTTGGTCCATCCCGGGGCTGTTCATCTTCTGGCTGGTATTTCTTGTTGATACTAGTCCCGCACTTTAGCTGTCTGCAGTCCATCTCTGCGAGTCTTTCAAGTGCGCCTTACCAGTAACCCTCCTCCCGGAGGCCATCTACTTTGAGTGGCTCACAAAGAACGAGGTCGTATACCATAAGCCGCAATTCAAAAGGAAGTTTTCTGCTGCCGTCAGTACAAACAACTGAATGGTTTGCGCCCTCGGGAGCCTTACAGAAATGGAAACGGGCTCGCATCAACTTTTTGAGGTTGAGCTTTCTGCAATCGATACAATGTATTAGTGATCGGTTCACAGAAGAACAAGCGAGATATTGAATATGAATAGAAGGAAATTAGGCGGGAATGTTGCAGAGGCCCGGTGTATTATTGAAGGGAGTTATGCCTCACCCTCGAAGACCGCCCAGGTTGATGCGAAGTTGCCTTTTTTGGCGCCCTGCCGCTCCGTCGTGGCATTCTTAGAATGCTGCTTGGTGTCAGTACCGGAATCTTTGAAGATGAAGGTAAAAAAAATCGTTCATGGTTGAGCTGGACATCAAATCCGGCCTTGGGTGGTGGGAAAGGTGTGCCACTCGCCGCAACACCTTGAGGGACGGACAACACCTTCCTGTGTAGGGGCAAAGCGAACGCCAAGGTTTCCAATAAGAGTCAAAATAGCCACAGACATGACTTGCGTGATGAACCTCCACTTGCCAGTTTCGACTTTTGAAGGCTTATTATTGCGAAATTCAAGCAAAGTTTGACATGGACAACAACAACATGCGGCACACAGGGGATAGGAAGCAAAACTGGAAACATGCAACGAATGCTTCAGTAACAGTAGGTTTTACCTCCAAGTTACTAGGTATTTGTGATTCGAGAGTGACCATGCTTTGGCGTACAAAAGCCATCTGGGCAACACGCTATTACAGAATGACCGTCAACCTGAAATGTACCGCTCGACCAACAACTTCATATGACGAGCCACCTCTTGCTCAGGCTCTCCGTTTGTGACATACCGATAGTGGGCAATGTACTCGAAATTCTTTGGATGAATCTTGGGCAAGTTCGCCACTTGAACTGAGGTCTTGCCAAGAGACTTGGTCTTTTTCAAGAGGGGCAACAAATCGCTGAACACCATCTCAGCAAGAAGACGTGCCTCCACTTCCCAGCGTGTGGGAGTGCCTTTGGTCTTGATCAAGGCTGTGTTCCGGTACCTCAGGGTATATCGGAAGCCCAAATCCAAACTTTCAAGATTTTCGCAGTGACTGAGAAGTCGAGCAACTCGTCGCGAACTTGCCCTGTAGTCCTTCTGGCTCCACAGCGGGAAATTTCCAAGTATGGGGTGTTGGCGAGCACCGGATCCTTGGAAAGGTTGCGACAGCTTGATTGCGCGTATGTTGGCGGCTCTCGGTCCGATTCGTTGCAGCCAGATGTCAAGGTACTCCATGTCCTCGATCTCGAACGTGGTTGAGTAAAGCATAGCTCTGGCATCGGCATGGACCGTCTTGCAGGTGCGCAGTAAAGAGCCAGAGACACGACAATCTGGATCTTGTCGAAGGCGCTTGTCGGAGCGATCCCAATAGATTGTAATCTGGCTCCGTGCGAGAGCTAGGTCATAGACCATGTTACGTATCTCAGGTGGCAGTTCTCTGGAAGTTCTTTGTCAGCTTCAGCCCACCTTGAATAGTCGAAGTGGATACTTGCAGAAAACCCATTTTGGTGTGGAATACTTTTGCTCTCTTGTCGAAGTGAATGAGTTAGCATGTGGTTCGGAGAGCAAACATGAGCCAATTGATACGTGGATGAGAACAGGGGAGTTCGGTCCGATGATGCTTGAAAGTTGTGAGTCGATAAAAAGCCAAATTCGCCAGTAGTACCTTGCTGCGTAAGTTGTAGCGACCATTATCAATGCTGGATAAGGCAGCATGTGGTCTTCTGCGAGAGGGTTGAACGGAAACACTTTGCGAAGCCATGATAATACGTAGGAAGATTCCTTCGTGGTGGTAACTTGAGGTTGGGATGCACTTGGCTCGAAAGAATGTCCATCTTGTTGGTCAACTGAAATAGTTTAAAAGCCACATATCTGACCACCTTCTATCTTTTGGAAATGGCTAGAAACAGTCTACCCGAATATTGAATGAGCGTATTCGTGGAAGTGAAGATATCTCGATCGCACCTCGTGTTTCATTTCCAGTCAAAGCCGACGTCCCTCTCAGGCATTGTCACCTGCTTCCACCCAGACAAAGAAACATCCTGCCACTGCAAGGCATCCACACTGATTGTGCCCTTGAACGAGCGACAGTCGTTTCCAGAAAATACGACATATCCCCTGCCCGTTTCACTTCCTTCCGGATTAGACTTGGCCATGCTCGATTCCGCATTCGACTTCACCTGACCCTTCCACTGGAACCAGAATTTGGGTGACCTGAAGCTGTTCTTCTCAAAACTTTCGAATCTTCTCTTCTCCTTGGTTTCAGTCTCCGAGACAACTACGTTGTCGTCGCTTTCCACGTCTTGCTCCTCGTCCGAAGCACCAGACTCGACTTCCTTTTCTACCCGATCTTCAGGTTCGTTCTCAACTTCTGATTCCGATGTGATATCATCCCTGGCCTCGAGGCCGTAAACCAGCTCTTCAAGAGTCTTCCTGCTTCCGGTCATGACCAGGCTTGCGTCGAAGACACCAGGCAAACATAGTCTTCCTAACAGCCCACGGCCGTCGTCTGAAAGGCGGAATATCTCCATAGTGGGCAGAGGAGCCTGCCCTTTATTCTTGGCCGTGTTGATCTGATCGCCAAGCTTTTTCGCGTTTGTGCATTTTACTTCGTATCTTCCAAATATTCGTTTTACTTCGAATGCCCCGCCGCCTCGACGCCCCCAGCCACCACCGGCTTTGGATTTGCCAACTCGGTTGTGGACGTGTCTCGTCGAAAATGCCGCGTCCTGCCAATCGTCCATGTTCGAGATGATGTAGGCTTATTGATGCTGCTTTTTGCCTGATGTATGCGCGTGGTGGGAACACGTCTTGGTTGCGAAGAATCTCCGTCAATGGTTCCCTTCTCCTAGGGAAATTGAGCTTAGCAGTCTTGACGTCATCTGTTTCTTAGGCACTACATGTAAGAGCGCCATCGTAACGATCAAACCTCGCCTTGCAGAAGTGGTCGCATCATTAAATATTCCTAAAATCAGTCTCTAAGTGCTTGAGATGCGGACGGCTGCGGGTGCGACTTGAACACACACCTGTCCACCCACGTCTGGTTCATCCTGCCCCGCGCCCACAACCTCTGCTTCTGGCGCCTCAATAGGCCAGGACTGAAGTGGCAGCCGATGTGACCAGATAACTCATACCTGGTCTTCTTTTGATACGGCAGAACATTGTCATCACTTGTGTCCTGAACCTAACAGTTGATTGGCTTCACGCCTGTCAAGGTATTGGACTGAGCTCTGGCTGTTCCAGAACGATGACGTCATACCACACTTTTCAACTTCAACGGGGATTTCAACGTGGACAATTCTTGAGAGTTAGCCTCACAGGCAATTCACCTCAATCTGAAGACTTCCCCATCCTCTGAAATTAGTAATATTGTGATTCAACATCCCGTCGCTTATCGTGGACAATTCTCTAGCTACCTTATGCAAAAGCGACTACGAGCCCAAGGTTGTGATTGAGGAGAACACATTTGGGGATAGAAACGAGCATGGAATTTTCTGAACATGTCGTCGAAGAGAGTTCGGTCGACCGGAGTCTAGATGTTTCCAAAGTCAAAATGGCGCCGCGTCAAACACCAAAGGTGACCACCGGATCGAAGTCAAAGCCAACCAGCCCCACGATCTGGCGGGCTGAGCCGGCTACAACGTCGCGGCGCCCACCAGCGCTAGCAATCCGAAAAGTCTCAGCCGGGCTGTCCCCGGACCGTCAGTGCACCTGTTACATCAGAGTCGCACAAAATGACCGTAGAAAGGGCGAACTGACATTCTTCTGATGGGATGGTCTAGAACACTGAGCAGCGAAATAACCTGCTTCCAACCCCTGTCGAGAGCTCCCCGCAGTGAGATGCCTGAGCCCCTCCGTCGAGTGTGACGTCAAGGGGCTACGAATGTGTGCCGAAAGCATGACCCCGCAGCGCCAATCACATCCGCCCAACGACAACCGGGATTTCCTGTTTTTGGAGCTGGAGTCGTCACTGGAGGCCAGAGCTCTGGGCGATGTCATAAAGGCGATCGAGCCCCAGGTGCGCGAGCGCCGTGTCAAACTTTTCTCACACGACTGAACCCCGCGATAGAAAAAAGAGACAATTTTGTTGCCAAATACACCAAGACTACACGAAAAAGCCACATAAACATACATCAACATGGGCGACGAGAACGAGTCGAAGTCGGGAACCATCTACTCCCGCAACAAGGAAGACACAATCGAGGCCGAGACGCTTCTCTGGCGTGCCATGTGCGACAACAAGCCCAAGGCCCTCCGCAAGTACCTCGACAAGGACGCCGTCCTCTCCCACCCGGGCGACAAGGTCTACTCACCGAAATCGAAGCCCACCCTGCAAGAACACCTTGACGACTGGGAGCCATGGACGGCGTACCGCATCCAAGACGACCCTGAGTTCGTCGAGATCGACCTGATGAGCTCGAGTCTGGTTTACAAAGTTACCGCATGGCGCCAGAAGGGCAAGAAGCTGGTAGCGACCGAGGGCATCTGCAACAGTGTGTGGAAGCAGGAGCCTGGCGGCGAGTGGACATGCTGCTGCCACCATATGAGTCTGATTTGATCGAGCATGTATTAGAATGATGGGCGACTAGCATGTACAGCTGATGATGCAGGGACGTGTAAGAGGGATGGAGACTGGCGTTTTGTAAGACTAGCGAGATGGCTCGCGGGCGCTTGATGATTTTCGGTTTCTTAGTTAGTCTGAGGTACAGCTCTTTAATGAACTTGCATTCATATGACATGAGAACAAAGCCCGAACCGAGCTGCTGGCGGGAGCCTGTGGATGCGACCATGCATAAGAAACGCGTCAATTGATTGTGACATGCATTCACATGCTGTCGGAGCGCCTTGCTCAGTAGGTGCCAGACCGGCAAGCTTCACTCTACATATCAAGGCGGGACAGCAACCGACCGCGACCAACATGTACTATTCAAGGTTTGTGTTTGTTATGGTTGCCGACGCCTAGATGAGCAAACATCCGCAAGATCTATAAACTTTGCGTGGAATATGTCTACAGGGTAGCGGAACAGAAGTAGGTAATTGACAAAGGAGGGAAGGGTGCTGGCGGACAGGTGATAGTTTGGAGGTAGGTAAGGGGAGATTGAAGGACAAAAGTAAACATTACAAATGAAGACATCGTATGGGATAGCCCAATCTAAATACAAAGAATTGCGTCTCCAGCCCACTTGGGCTCAGCATCCTCGCAATGGAGGAAGTTCCCAGGTAACACCGCGGGGAGGTTTGGAGTCCGTCTTCGTTACCCAGAGAAGTAGTGATAGGCTCACCGGGGCCATAGCGGAAGCTGAGGAGGAAGGCTCAGCCAGGAGGGGGGTTAGGGGAGAGAGTGAGGAAGATTTGTTTTGTTTTGTTTTGTTTTGTTTCTGATCATTCTTTGTTCTTTTCTTCGTTCCTGCTGTTGCTTTCTTTCATTTTTTTGTTCTTTTTGTATTTGTTTGTTTCTAGGAGGTCTTGATCTTGGCTTCTTTTTTTCTCTTGTCTTTTCTTTTCTTGTCGTTGTTTTTCTTGTCGTTTTTTCTTCTTCTTTTGTTTTCTTCTTGTTTTTTTTCTTCTTGTAAATAAGAGAGACGGAGATAGGAGCGGTGAGAGACGACGATGGAAGAGAGTGCGACGTAGGAATAAATGACAATAGATAGCAATAGATAAGAAAAGACACTGGAAGAAATGGCAGTAAGTTATAAATGTGAAGAAGATACCTTAGGTAAAATAGGAAGAAATGACAATAAATGGTAAGAGGCGGCAGTAAATCGTAAGAAGTGATCACAAACAGCAGGAAATGGCAGTAGATGTGTAGAAGAGATGTAGAAAGAAATGGCAAGGGATGTGAAGATATAAGAAATAGCAGTAGATAGTGATAAATGGCAGTAAATGGTAAGACTGGCAGTAAATGGTAACATATAGTAGTAAATGTGAAGGGAAGATGTAGAAAGAAGCGGCAGTAGATGGTAAGATATGGCAGTAGATGTGAAGAAGAGATGTAGAAATAAATAGCAGGAAATGTGAAGAGTTAAAAAACAGCAGTAGATGGCAAGAAGTGGCAGCAGATAGTAATATAGATGAAGAGACGTGTGAGGGAAGTCGGGAGGTAAGGGAGTAGAGAGTTGGGAGGTAGAGAGTTGGGAGGTAGAGAGTTGGGAGGTAGAGAGTTGGGAGGTAAGGAGGTAGGGAGGTAGAGTGGGTGGATAAGTATGTTGGATAAAGATATTGAGTAAGAGTAAGAATGATGGAGAGATTGGAAGGGAAGTGAGAGTGAGTGAGACTGGGTTTATATATATTCTGGGAGAGGGGTAAAATGACAGGAAAGACGTAAAGGTGGCCGAGACGAAACGAAGGGTTGGCTGGATTAGGATGAGGTAAGGACAAGGTTGAAGAGATGAAATGATCGCAGGACGGAAAGGTGGGAGACGCAAAGTTGGAAAGACAGAAGGGTTGAAAAAGAGATTTGCGTTCCCGGCCCACTGGGCTTAGCATTCACCGAAGATCAAGTTCCCAGGCAACATCACAGGGAGGTTTGGAGTCCGGGTCCGTCGCCCTGAGAAGTAGCGTTGTGACACACCGAAAAGCCATGGGTAACCATATGACGGCCTTTTGGTTCTGGGGGTCTCTGGGTTTCTGACCTTTTTTGTGGTTGTTCCATTGCGTTTTATGAGGGGCTCACGGCTGGACGTCTACCGGTTCTATTGCATTGAATTGGCCGGATTTGAACGAAACACAAACTCACCTGGCGTGAGGAGGAGTGCCGTCGAATGATCATACAAATCAGTACTAGTATTCTGGAGAGCGGGTCCCAGAAACCCGGGGAAACTACATTTCTGCGAGTGCCGTTATGGTGGCGGCGTCCATTCATCACGTAAACCTTGAACCTCTGATCTGCCTCAGGCTCCCTTGGTTTGGTCATGCCAAGTGACAATACGAGGCTGGAAGTTTGAACCTGGAGCGGTCCGGAGCTTATTTCAGCAAAAGCTATGTGGAATCTCAAGTGTTTATGCACAATTTGGACCTATCTATTCGACCTGCATGGTTTCCTGGTATGTGTTGTGCGGTGTCCGCTTGCTGGCCTGTACTGTGCACTCGCTACCTGGACGATTAGCATAGAACCCAAAGGAAATTTAAGAACTTGACTGGGGACCTTTGCAGATTTAAGTCAACTTGAAAGGTCTCTACATTGAGCGTGTCGAACGTCTAGAGGTCAATCTGATACTTCGATGACTCACTGACGCGCTTGCTCATGTGACCTTGGCCGGAACCAGGTTGGTCTACTAGATAATCTGGCCAAGGTTTGCTCTAGGTGGTTGCTTTCAACCTTGCTTGACAACTGCCGCCAGGGGCAAATGGGTCGACGGCGTCTGTGCCTGGAACTTAGTTGACTCTATTTTCCCTTCATCTTGGGAAGGGATCGAGCCTGGCTCTTCACCGAGATTTTAGAGCAGCTGATGGGGTTGCAGAACTCTAAGAGTGCGGACTTGACCTGTGAAGAGTCTGCTAGACTGCTCTAGAGGTTCCAGACAGGTAACCGGTTGTCATCAGGGCCATGTTGTATTTCTAATCAACGCATACTAGCACACTCTTGCCATATGACGACGTCAAACTCTGTATGGCATGAAAGCGTCCTATTCGAAGATACCGATTCCGTATCCATGTGCCCCTTTCTTATCTTTGTGTCCATTAAGGCCAACAATGTCCCCATCCGATTTCCGCTTGTTAGAAGACCTCTCACCCAGGACTTGAACGTCAGGTCCATCATCGTTGACCAACTCAGGTTTCCACCCTGTGCCACTGCCAAGGTTGCTCACACCCGCCGGGTTCGTCTCCGTGATGTGCGGGCCCCTCTCGCAACCCTCGACGTTCCCATTCCTCTCGCAGCAACTCCACTTGAAGCCATCGGGCTTGTCTTCTTTCCAGCACGGGTCATCCTCCAACTGTTCCCAGTCGTTCTCGTCCCAGATGTCAATCGAATCCCATTCTTTACTAGACTCATCCAGTTCAAACTCTCCTGTAAAATATTGTGAGTCGAGAATGTTCGTGCTCGCTGAAAGGCTACGCACCTGGATGGTATTTACAAGCATCGGGGTCTTGCTTGTCGCCTTCAACTCGCTCGTGACATCGGCTGCAAACCAAGCTTGCAGGCTTCGCAGACCCGCTAGTCGTTGTCATGGCCGAAATTTTCGCCTGACTTCCAAGAAGTTGCCGTGCCATCTCAACAGCCTTCTTCCTGGTCTCCCGCTCCCCACAAAGCGAGATCAGGACTGTTCGCGCCATGCCTTCGGGCATACCCCTGATGACGTCTAGTTCCTGATCCACACTTCCATCCTGGAAAATTGGCATCGCGTCTGTCGCCGCGCTGCGCAAGCACCTATGCTCAACTTGGCTTTGAAAAGAAAGTCTGATAGTAACGAGAACCTGTGTCGGAAATGAATGGATCGCGAAGCGTCAAGGTGGTATGTCTGCGACGACGAAGCGCGTTGGAGAAGAAAGTTTGACGCGTGAGGGAGAGGCCCACCCCGCGACTGTCGGAAATAGCGACTTTTTGGAGGGGAGGCTCGACAACGTTGCTTTTTCCTGACTTTCTTGGGGAAAGTCAGGGGGTCGGTCATACGAGGACGCAACTCTGCTGACATAATGTCTTTATTGAGCTACTTACAACGGCATACTGTGCAGTTGTAGATGCCATCATCAGCCGAGGCTTCTGGGAGATACACGATACTCCTGTGACCATTCTCATCGAGTTGCGAATGAGCATAGTCAGTCAGCACAACAAAACGACCTGTGAATGATGACACGAACTTGGGGTCAATGTTCCTGTGTCGCACCTCGTGGCGGCCAAAGCCAAAGTGGTAGACGATGACGTAATGACCGCCGCCACACCCGAACGAGATGAACATCTTAGACGCGCGGATCCCTCCGCTGCCATCATCATGTCATCAACATCTATCGCGCAAATCCAGAAACTAGGATAGCCTAAGTATGTTAATAACCCATCATCCAAGATGGCACTGCAGCCCCAGCCAGAGTACAGAGATATCGACGTTGAACTTGAACCCCTCGACGAACCGCAAACTTTCCAGCATCCGGACTCTCCGTTGCCGTACTTCGACGAGCCTACGCCGCCAGGAACACCAGACAGGACCATGGACGCAACTCCAAAGTGGATGACCACGGCGCAGCCCTGGGGAAAAGCTCTCTCGCGAAGAGCTGTCGACCTCTTGAAGCCGAGGGTTGCCTGGGGCTACATCATCTGGACCTTCATCGGGCTCTATGTGCTCTACTGCCTCATCATCCGATCGCCTCTCTTGGCATCCAAATTGCCCGGATACTCTGGACGCTACGGTGTTGGCGCGATTGATGTCGAAGTTGCCGTCACATCACCACGGAAAACGAGTGATTTGGTCTTCAAGGACGGCAAGGCCGCCTTCGATCTCGAGACTGTTCTCTTCACACTCTACTACCCCACGACCAAGGATGTACGAGGAAGACGACCACGTCACTACTGGATTCCCAAGCCTGTTAGCTTAACCGCAGAAGGGTATGCTCGCGCAGCGCACTTCAACAACTTCATCTCGAGACCAATCTTCACGTTTGCATTATGGGCTATTGCTGGGAGTATCACGATCCCGGCCGAGGTGGACGTCCCACTGGTGCCTCTCGACGATAAGTCTGGAGAGAGGTTTCCCGTTGTGGTGTTGTCGCACGGACAAGCTAGCTCGAGGACGGATTACACGCACTACTGCGGCGAGCTAGCAAGCTCCGGGGTTATCGTAGCCGCGGTTGAGCACCGCGACGGCAGCGGCCCCGGGTCCGTTGTCACCACTCCGAGTGGGGAGAGGAGGGTGATGTATCTCAACAAGAAGGAACTCCGCGGCGGAAAGGAGATGGAAGACGACGATTTCAAGTTTGAGCAGCTCGCCTTCCGCCAGGCGGAGATTGAGGAGACGATTGCCGTGCTGAGATCACTTGATGCCGGCCGTGGCGGAGACATCTTTGAGAGAAACGCTAGAAAGGAGGGCAAGGATCTGGAGATGTGGGCGAACCGCCTCAACTTCTCGGAGACGGTCATCGCAGGTCACTCGTTCGGTGCCACGGGCGCGTTGCAGGTCCTCCGAGGCGCGACAACGGACGAAAACCCAGCCGTCGGCGGTATCATTCTCGATCCCGGGAAGAGCAGCGGGCGGCTGAACACGGATATCGACGTGCCGATTCTGGTGGTACACTCGGACTCGTGGTCGAAGAAGGTTACTATGTTCTTTGGGAGGCCGCACTTCGACACCGTGGGAGACATTGTGAAGGATGTGCTCAAGAGGGTTGGCTCCAGTTGGTTCCTGACAAGCATGAAGACGAGCCATCCTAGTGTTACGGACGCGCCGCTTATTGAGCCTTTGCTGTTGAGGTGGACGACCGGAGCTACGATTAATGTTAATGAGGGTTTAAGGGAGTATGTGAGAGTTTCGATGGAGTTTCTCGAGTTCTTGAGGAATGGCACAAGAGGAGGAGTGCTTTCTGAGGGGCCTACGCACCAGGAGTATGGCGAGGACACTCGGACGGAAGAGCAGAAGGAGAGAATACCGAAGGAGGTGATGAAATATTGGGAGATTCACGTCGCGCCACCTCGAGATGAGTAGATCCAAGGTAGAATGATTGTCCATTCAATGTATCGTGAATTGACGCTGACCGGCAAAGCCTGTATTTTCGGTGTAATCACCCTCGTTTGTTGGTGTCTAACCCACTATCGTGGGCCTTGAGGTGCCGTAAACATGGGATGCCTGTCTTGTTTGGCCTGTCTCTGGCAGGACAAGGCGAAATGTTGCAGACAGATCGTCCTAACACCGCCAGAGCGATGATGATCTGCGCTCTAGCCATGCGCAACCCGCAGCAAGCTGATGTTGAAGCCTCACATTTGACAAACGAAACATCGTGAGGCCGCCGTCGTCTACGAATATGCCCCGATCCAGTCATCGCAAGCGGATTTGAGATATCAGGCGATTTGATGATGTGGTTGAGACGAGACAAGACAAGACAACTGATTCGGATAATATTTCTGCGCTGAGGAATCATCAGTCTAGGGAGGCCCAGACGGTGCCGGGGCGCTCAGGAATGCGTGCTGTACCGGCACGGGGACCACCCGAAGAAAGGGAGACGAACCGGTGGAGTTCTGTTTGGGGGCGTCTTTTGGGGGTCTTGTCGGGGATTAGGGGCGCTCTTCTAGGCTGCTGGAATGACGTGCGGCGGCGCATCGCTTAAAGGACGAGGTTAAAAGATTTGCTGGGTACGGGGGGTTTCGTCGCAAGCGCTGGAGAAACCCTGTCCAGCTGGTTCCCGAGGGGGGGTTGCGTCGCTGAGACAGCGCGATTCCAGGTATTCGGAGGAGATGGGTCGATTTTCTGGCCGCAGTGTCTTATCCGGCTGGGGCTGTTGGTGGTGACGAACTCTGTGTAAGATGGAGGATGGGGGCGGGTTTTGGGCGTTGGTCATCTTTTCTTGGTGTTTCTGATCTTTCTGATTATTGAGTGATTTAGCAGTGTTGGTAGAGGTAAGTAGCGCGTTGTTCTACAAGCGCAAGGATTGAAGGGGCGGGCCTTGTTGCGTCCTTGTCGCGTTACACGAGAGTTGCGTGCTAGATCTTTGTGTAACGCGAGATGAGAACCTCATTCGGTGGATATGTCCCTGTTCATGTTCCAAAAAGTCTTCGGATACTGTTCAATCAGATGTTCAAACACAATCAACAACGGGCCACTTCGTGAAGGGGTGACATTCCATTTCGAATCAAGGCGGTGAAGGATGAATCAATCGCTTTTGGGGGGTCAGACAGGTGAGGCGGACTAATGGGCTTCACAGGCGAATAGCAAAACGGCTGGGCGGGACGGCGTACCGCTGGCATGGAAAGAGGGTGAGACACGCGCAAAAGACAACCGCTGCGTCGTCTTCCTGCCGGTCGGGCTGCCTCCGCTGACAAAGGGAAGAGAAATTCTCCCTCTTTCCCTTGCTTGGGCTAGCGAGACAGTGTCCGAGACAATGGGGGCCGGTGCAGAAGTAAACGTTCAACGTCAGTGGCCGGATTTGGTGTGCGTTTTACCAGCGGCGACTTAGTTTTTGTGATAGATGACGAGGAAAGACGCGATGGCATGTTCCTGGTTGTGTTGTTTCCAGTCTGGTGTCAAGACCAAAGGTAGGGAGAATCTGGTGTGTTTGGGATGGCGGGGGAAACAGTGGTGGTTAGTGGACCAAAATGCTGGGTAATAGGGGACTATCGTGAAGACTCAAGACATTGGGCTAACAAGATGTGTGTGGCGTCCTTCAGCCCAAGACAACAACACAGAGAGATTGATAACCTGCCCAACAAGACGCATAATCAGGACGGTAAATCGAGTTTTCAGGTCGGCTCAACTGCCGCATGTCAGCTTCGCTTGCCTCCCTGGGTCTTTCGTCAGCTGTGACATCAACGATTTAACTGGATGTTACTGCAGCCTAGTGTCACAGTGTCATCGATATCAACTTCGCATACAGACATATTCTCCGACTGAAACACATCCAGACCGGTCGTCCATTCCAAGATCAATGACCCGTCAATCTTAGATCAACAAGCAGCCATCGTCGGCAAAGGCCGGGGTTGATGGCGCGGCTTAACGCACGCTGCCAGCAGTGCAGGGGTGCTTCCGGCTCGGTTAACACTGTTCGCGCAGTGAAGTGATCACAGCCGCATCTCATCACTTGTCGACTCTCTCTAGCACGAAGGCATCATGCCATCTCTTCACCGAGTATGCCAACGAAGCCGAGGCGCCTTAGATGAGACAGCCGAGATGCATCCCCGGCCACCAATAGCCGCGCCGGACGACGTGCGCGAGTCCTCACCGAACGACCCTCAGACAACTCGGTGTGGCGTCTTCGTTTCTTCTTCCGCTCTTGTGGTGTTTAGTCAAAGGCCCTGCCCGGCTGGGCGGAATCTCGTCGCTCATTAACGAATCCCAACAGGCTCGGAATAAGTTTTTGGTGCCCAAAAAGCAAAAGCAAAAAGGAAAAAAAAACGGGGGACCCGACCAAGTCTGCGGCCCCATCGTCCGCCCGCCCCAGGCTAGTTATTTCGAATTTAGAGGACGGAGCCAAGAACAGGATCGGCCCGCTGGCAGGGTGGATGGGCGGCGCACCCGCGTTCTGCTCTGCGTTGCTTGCTGTCTTCCCTCGACGAGCCTTGGACGAATATGGATGGTCGCATACATGACCAGATCTCGGGGAGGGCAGCCGACTGACCGTGCGGCCGGGACTGCAGTTCGATTTGGGGATTGATGGGACTATGTGTGCGATGTGATTAGTCTGGTTTACGGGAAACAAACGTC